AGGGAGAGAGATGATAGAAAGCTTACGTAATGTCCCTTGCACCAGGTTGGGATCTCAGTGTTTTTGGCAGGATGGGAGATTCGCTTCCGTTTCACCTTGGGAAGAAACTGTAGCAGCGTCAGCAGGAGCAGGGGCAACCCTCCACCTCCTTCTCATTCCCTCCCCCCCCCTCACCATGCTGTAGCACGACGCCCGTGACCGGGACCCTCTAGTGGCAGATCTCCTTTCTGCCTCAAGGCTCGGTCTGACTGCGGAAGCAACCCCTACCGCCGTCAAGTCGCCCATTCCATGCGCATCCTCTGGGCCCCTTGACGACGGCGGCAGGTCCGCATCCATGTGACTAGGGGGGCAGGACGGCAGCTCCTGATCCGCTAGAGATGCCCAACCCCAGCTCAGCGACTTCTTGTTGTGGTTCATGGATTCCATGAGCTGGGAGAGGAGGTCTTGTGCGTACTGCACCATCGACGACTTGACGATCTCCCCTGCCCCCTGAAGCTTGCCGGAGAGGAACCTTGACCCTGAAGGCAAGTGTCCTGGTAGGGACTCCTGTATGTGAAGGAAGACGACTTTCATGAGGTCCATCGCGGCCTTTTCCTGCATTTGCGCGTCCACAAACAAGGCAACGATCAAGTTGGTGAAGTCAGGATGACAATGAAAGAATATCTTCATGCTGTTCCCGAATCTGAGGAACTTCAGTGAGACTGGATCAGGGCTCTTGCTCCCTGCAGTCTCAGAAAGGCATGCGCCAGCGTTCAGCTGGAACGCAAAGATCAGGGCAGCTAGCTTGTGAGTATCGATGCTGTCGGATTCGGGTGAAGAAGGCAGACCGTAGGCATGAGAGAACTTCTTTGAGAACAGGGTCTTTCCTGTCTTCGAGCAAACCCCTATGATACCGTGTATCATCACTTGTTCATCCCTACGGGGCAAGGGGATTCATTCTGGTCCTTCACAAGCTGCCCTTCCTGTCCCTGACCTGTTCTTTCTTCTCATCTGTTCGTCTCATCCCTTTGCATCATCTTTCATATGATCTGCTCTGCTCTGCTCTGCTCTGCTCTGCTCTCCTATCTTGTCTTCGGGTCCGTGCTCTTCAGCGCCATTCTCACAAATCTGCAACTGACCGACTGTTGCAATTTCACAAGGAATGCAACGGCCGTTATAAAAATGGATGAGAGTAACGGTATGTAACGTTAATACAGTGAAGAGGCAGGCGGCAATGGCGTGGGCTCACGGTAGGAGCGCCGGGGCCTTCGCCTTGTCTCTGTTACTCATGGGCGGCGCCATGGTGGTTCTTCCCATGCTGCTGCAAGTCAAGAGCAAGGAGGGGACGAGAGATGAGCTGCTCGTGCTCAGTGGAAACCCTGCATGGCTTGCCCGCACGCGCACATCGGTACGTGCATCGCGATCGAGTGAACCCCTTCCCGCTGAGCGTGCACACGGTGACAGGTGGAAGACAAGTTTGCAGATCTTGAGGGCAGGATATTGAGCGAGTGAGATGATCGATGGCATTGTATCCTGACAGCGCTGTGACTACTGTTCGCAGCTCCTCCAAGCAGAACGATCTCCAGTTGGACTCAGATGCTTGGAGAGACAACCTGAAGAAATCTGTGAGCTGCTACATAGAGGTGCAAGATGATAAACTCAAAATTTCCGTCAACAGGACAAGGAGATGCTGGAGGATGTCGAGTCTCTGGAGAAAAAGAGGAGGTTGCCTTCGTTAAATGTCCTCGTGAGCGAGTGCTAATAGACGTGCGCATCAGGAAAGTCGCCGAGCTCGTGGCACAAGTGAAGAGGCTGATGCACACACCCGGCCCACCTGGTCAAGATCCTTGCGGAGGAGATCGACAGAGTCTAATGCTCTTGCTTCTTCAGGCCCTCCAGGCCTTGCAGGCCCAATGGGTCCTCCTGGACTTGATGGCCCCACTGGACCTCCTGGGCAGGTTTGCTTGTCGTCTGTGGCAGATGGAAGTTTCTTGACCTTGAGAGCTACAGGCGGGACCTCAAGGTTTTCCTGGACGAGAAGTAATGGCCTGTCTACACGTTCACTTGTCTCCCCCCCCCCCCCCCCGCCCTTACAACACCTAGCCGTTTGCCTGGGCTATGCTGATATTCCCTCTAGGGGCCTGCTGGTCCTATGGGCGTGCAGGGAGTGCCCGGAAGGTCCGGAGTCAATGGAGCTCCCGGTCAGTTGCCTGGAGGGATGGGTAGAGTGAGGAAGGGAGGGTTGGAACGAGGGGAGGGGGGCTGGGGGTCCGAAGACAGGAGAAAAGAAACGGAGGAAAGCAGGGGGCTTCGAGGCAGGCAGGGAGGAAGTGAGACATGCTTCAGGTCCTCGAGGACCCAACGGAAGGTCTGGCCTCAGGGGCCCCGTGGGACCTCGGGGAGCGATTGGTGCGATTGGCCTGAGGGGCGAGAGAGGGGCGCGAGGCTTGCCTGGCCCTGCGGGAATGAAGGGCACGGACGTGGTTGGGCCCAGGTAGGGAAGAGGGGAAAAGTCGATGAATGTGCTGGAGAGTGACACGGTTGTCATCAGGGGACCTCCGGGACCCACTGGCCCTCCTGGAAGGTGGGTCGTGTGTTGCCATAGGCTGCAGCATCTGACGTTCCTGCAGGCAAGGGCCGATGGGCCTTGTGGGTCTCCGTGGCCGACGAGGAGTTCGTGGTCATATCGGACTTCCAGGACCAGCAGGTGAGAACACAGCAATGCCACGTCCTTGCCTCTTTCCCCCCTTCGTATCCCTCTCACCTCTTTCTCTGCTTCCATTGTAGTTCCTGGCACTTGATAATGCTTCTGATTTGCTCTTTTCTCTTCCATTCTAGTCTCCCTTGCCGTCTTTACATCTCCTTACCCATCAGCCCACACTCATTTCCCCTCAAACGTGCTTCGACACCCTATCGTCTCTAATTTCTTGCTCCAGGTGTTCCGGGTCAAAAAGGAATGCCAGGCTTCATGGGGAGAGAGGGACCGGAGGGTGTACCTGGCCTCGCGGGCCCGTCCGGCAGGGATGGACAAGAAGGATCTCCTGGTGCCCCTGGCGAGGCAGGCCTGCCTGGTACCTCCGCATGCTCTCCGCCTTGTCACCGGCGCATTGACATGTCTGCCTTCCAGGAGCCCAGGGACCTCCGGGTGTCGCTGGTATACCGGGAACTGGAGGGCCGATGGGAGCCACCGCTGGGAACGGCCCTGCTGGTGTGCAAGGGACGGCAGGGACTGGAGGAGCTGCAGGGTCGGAAGGTCCCGGCGGTGCCGCCGGAGCGAACGGATCGCCGGGGGCCTCAGGACAGCATGGAGCTACCGGTTGATATTCCGTTGAAACCGCCATCAGGCTGCTGACCCTGACGCGCAGGAACTCCCGGCGCGAACGGCGCACCAGGAACTCCAGGTGAGGATGCTTGCTGTCTGTAACTTGTGCGGGAGGTGGACATGTGGTAGCTGCTAAGATGCGGTTGTTGTCTGTGTTGTGGAGAATTGTAAGCGTACGAGCGGAGGTTCTGAGAGCGATGGATGCAGGTGCTTCTGGAGCGAACGCCGACACTGCCTCGCACCTTCCACATCCACCCTGGAGGGACGGAGGAGAATCTGAGGCGAAGAAAAGGCGATGAGGGGGGAGTGAAAGTGTCCGGCGGGAATGAAATGCCAGTGCGGCAATAGACTAGCAACTGCGACTGCAACGTTTTTTATGTGAAGTACAACTTGTGTAACATCGATTCTCTTGCACGATGGTGACAAGTCATGCAAGCAAGAGAGGCAGGATGATCCCAAGGAGACGGTGACTGAAAAATGCATCGCAGGCAACATCACCAAGCTCGCTATGGCTTCAGCCCGACCCTTCCCAGCTTCTTACATCTTGCTTCTCTTTCCAGCTGAGATGATAGAGATGCAAGCTGCATGATTGGGGTAGCCGCCGGCTTCAGGTGGAGCCTTGAGGGCAAACTTAGGTGAGTGAAGCTGCGCAACTTCGAGCGCGGTCTTTCCGTGCTTGTTCCTCAACATCAAGTCGGTCCCTGCATCTACCAGCACTTGACACACCTGTCACATGCGTCAAATACACGATCCGCCAAGCAGGAGACTCTTACGTCTGCATGGCCGAACTTCGCGGCATCGTGGAGAGCAGTGTCACCGAAGATGTCCTGGACGTTGGGGTCGATCTTGCAGTCGTTGACCAGGAACGAGATGAAGGGTTTGGGGTGGCCCCAGAATGCAGCCTTGTGGAGAGCGGTTCTTCCTGACGTCGGTTCTACAGCTTTCACATCTGCCAGCCCACCCTTTGCAAGCTCCTTGCATGGAAGAATGGCTCCGTGCATTGCATACTCTCTGAACTCCATGCTCGCCTTCGCACGCCCTGAGACCTTCTCGTCTTGGTTGAAGGGGTTGCATCGAGGAGGGCAGCCAAGGCTAATCAGCTTCGCATATGCCTTGGCGAACTCCTCGAAGAATAGCTTCTCGTCCTTGGCAAACTGGACGGTGTACTTCTTGAAGGAAGGATCCTGAATGAGAGCCAGGTCTGTCGGAAGCATACCCAGAGTCCCAGTCTCCACGTCAGTGTACATTTTCTTCCCTGCCCAGTCCTTCAGCTTCCAGGTCTTCTCAACAAGGTGCTTGTAGTAGTCGTTGTTGAACTTGAGCGGCGTGTGCGTCCATGGCCCGTCGTACCCGCTCCTGATCTCGTGCATTCTGCCAAGAGTGTGGCCGCCAGACAAGGCGACAATCTCCTTGTCGTCGAAGCCCATCCTGTTGAAGACTTGACGAAGGTGGTCAGCTCCTTGAGATGCGTCAGGAAGGCGACCATTGGGTGGGACTCGCACAGGCTTCTCATCGTCTCTCCTCCCGAACTTGAACGGGATCTTGGGTCCTCCAAGGAATTCGATGGCGGCGCAGCCGGCAAACGCCCAGAGGTCAGCCTGGGATATCTCGGGATGGTTCTCCTTGATAGGAAGGAGGAGGTCTCTGATGATGGACAGGCCCTTGTTCGCCTCGTCGTAGACTTGTGGCTCAAACCTCATGGTACCCCCATCGCTCCCCCCACTGCCATCCCTTTTGTCGTACGTCCCAGCGGCATGCCAGGCAATCCTCATAGCGATTGGGCAGGCATTCACCTTCTGATTGATCAGCGCCTGACGGATCTCGCTCTTGAGCGCATCATCGTTCACAACTGTCCCCTCCATGTTGGTTTTGTCTTGTCCTGCACCTGCCAAGAAGTTCTAACAGCCGAGTTTGTCCTGTTGGGAAACTGTCCACCAAGATGCTCTCTGCTTGCAGATGACCGTAAAGCTGCAGGATCTTTCTCTTGTGTGTACGTTGAAGAGCTTACAGTCGTGTTCTCCTTCTAACTTACCCCACACGTGCTGACATCGTTGCCTCTCCTCTCCTACGATGCAGCAAGGGCGCAAGGTTGTGGCTCCAGCAAGGACCCCCTCCTAGACAATCCCGTCCGATAGATGAAGTACCCCTACTTATGCTAAGGAAGAAGTCAGCCAGAGGTCAATACCCTTACCTCTATGTAATGGAGACGCACTCGAGAAATCGAGGATCCTGTAGTGCACTGTGAGACCAATGCTTGGTACTCATCACGTTGTGAGGGGTAGTGTCACTACCCCCACCCCCAGACGTGATTTACGACCATGAGCAAATGAGGATCATAACCTTTTGAAGGTAAGTAACTTTGAAAGTTTTCGTGTGAAACTCGAGCGGAAAGTTTGGGAGTTAAACTTGAAATGTTCCGCCAGCTGCCGCTGCATGCTCATGCGGGGGGGAGGGAGGGCGGCTGTGCAGCAGGAGCAGGAGCATGATCAGGAGCAGGAGCAGGATCAGGGGAAGGAGCAGGAGCAGGAGTGTTGTAGAAAGAACATGAGGAGCAGACCTACGAAGTTCTGGTGATGAAGGCGGGAAAGGAAGAGGGGGTGAAAGAGAGGGGTTCGAGGATGATGATGAGAGTGAGGGGATGGTGCATTCAGTTTGAGGCTGTTCGGATGGTGATATGAACTTGAGCTGGTCAGGATGCCGCAATCCGAGCATCACCACCACCCAAGGGCCAAACTGAAGGTCTGGATCAGAGGACTACCTCCAGCGATGACAGAAGAAGAGTTCAAGGAGGTATGCATGTACTTGCTCCCGGATGTGCTGGCTGAACGTCCCCTTTCAAGCTTCTTGAGAGCATAACTCCTCCCAACAACAAGAGCATCGATTGGCAAAGGCTCGTGCCTGCCAACAAGCGGGTATGCGAACATTGATGATGCCATGATGGCTTCTTGGAATGGTGAGAGGAGTACCTCTAGGTGCCGACCACCACAGCCTATCTTCACTTCTCAAACGAAGAAGCGTTGTTCGGCCTATTTTCAAAGCTGGATGGCCACAAATTCATCGATGCGAAGGGGAGGGAGTACCGGGCCTTGATTGAGTATGCGCCATATCAGAAGATCCCCAGGAAGAAAGTCATCGACAAGAGAGAGGGAACGATCGAAAAGGATGCTGACTTTATAGCCTTCCAAGAGAAGCTCGAGAGCGAACTTAACATGAAGGTTTCCATTTGGCACCACTAGCTTCAGACCTCATCTCCGGGTGTTGACAGGTGGAGTCAGCTGAGGCATGGCTGGAGCGCAGGGAGCAGGAGGCACAGGCTGCAAAGGTATCATCCCCCTCCCTTCCTCTCGCCCCCAACCATCGTCCTGTGCTGGTTCGTGTGGAGGGCCCTGACAGGATCGTCTCAAGGCTCTGCTGTCTGCGGAAGGAGAGAACGGGGTTGTAGTCCACGAGGTTGTGCACACTCCTCTGCTCGACTACCTCCGAGAGAAGAAAGAAAGAGACCAGCGGTGAGTGTCTAGCGTGACTGCGCCGTGACTGGATCGGCCGATGACAGCCTTGCAGCGATCGCTCCAAGAAGCGAGACGAGGAGCGCAGGAGGAAGGCAGACGAGGAGCGGCAACGGAGGATGGGGCGATCGTCTGACAGGAAGCGACGGGGTGAGGTTGAGTCCTGCTGCCCTGCCCGCTCACGCTGCTCCTGCAGGCCATCAAGGGCAAGGTCCTGCTCCTGGAGTCCGGCAAGGAGGACAAGGTACTGACTTCTCTTCCCCTGTTGAGTGTTTTGCCCGTCCGATCGCTTTGCTGGGCGACTGATCTGCGTTGCACAGAGCCGTCAGACCTGGTGCAAGGGCAGCCTGTGGCGGCTGGAAAGTCCAGGAGCGGCCAGACTCCCCGGCAATCTCACCCGTCCGAAGGGCAAGGAGAAGCAGCTGCTCCAAACAGCGCGAGACCCGTCAAGGTTCCCGGGGAAGGAGGCAAGCCGAAGGGAGGGCAGGAGGGAGGCCCGCCACGTGGACGAGGACGAGGAAAGTCGGCAAATGCGCAAGGAAACCCAGGCAACCAGGCAGAAGGAGGAGGTGAGTGATCAGAAGCAGCATCTGAGGTGGCTGAAGTGCTGCACAGGACGAGGCCGTGGAGGGCACGCGGCGAGGGGGGCAGGAGGAAGACCGCAGGGTGTGTATCGGCCGCGGTCTATGAGGGGAGAAAAAGGAGAGGGTGGGCATGCAGGGCAAGGATAAGTTGATAGCTTGTTGGTTATGAATAGTTGTGAGTAAGGCAATAACGGACGATTGAAGGAGGAAGAGGTTAGGAAACAATCTGCACGTGCAGGAGAGAGAGAGTCCAGCTGGAGTCTGCAAGCAGGCGTCTTCAAGCATGGATGAGGCGGTTCAAGTATCGAAGGGTGACAGCTCCTCCTCCAAAGGGCACACGAAGTTCAGTCACACTGCTCGTGGCGCGTCAAGAAAGCAGAGGAGGAGGGAGGGGAGGGCAAGACCTGACGTTGTCCGTATGAAGGTTGAAGCATTCAAGCAGCTCCTCGTTGAGATTTCCTCTCTGCCAGTCTCGTCAGACACATTGAGCAGGAAGACGGGGAGGAGAGGGGAAGAGAACGAGGGGCAAGAGGAAAGGGGGGAGGGGGAGCAGGGGGAAAGTGGAAAGGGGGGAGAAGAGGGGGGCAACTACGAGTATGAACAAGGCCTTGATGAGATGGTCGATGAAATCCGCGTGCATCACGATGAGCATGACCTGCTGACCTCTCAGCTGCACCAGCGCGTGAGGATGAACGACAAACAGACGGACCGGATCCCGAGAAGCAGCCTCCTCCTTGAGCTGGAGGGAGAGCACCCAGTCGGCTGCCCGACGGGCCCTCTTAGGCACCTCGCTCTCCTCCTCCCTCCCTGCTCGCCTGTCCCACTCTCCCTCGGGGAGAAGAGACGTGTCGTAGCCGAACTGCTCCTCGATCTCCTGCTTGGTTAGCGCCTTGCCGGGCCCGCAAACTCCTGCCACCGCCCTGCCGTAGATCCCTCCGCTCTCATGGAAGTCCGGGTGAACGAGGCAGCTGCCCCCAAACTTGTCGACCAGCGGCTTCGCTGTCTGCAAGGCTCTCTTCATAGGGCTGCAGAGGAGGGAAACTCGCTCTCCTTCAAGCTCGGGGTAGAGCCTGGACGCTAGCATCTCGGCCTCTACCTCCCCTCGCTGCGAGAGGGGAGGATCATCCGATCGCTCGCTGAACCATCGCTCCCTCCCTTCCTCCCTGGCATCGAACAAGTCAGAGGAGGGAGGGGGTGATGTATGCTGAGACGTACAGAGAGATCGAGTCAGACTTGCGCTTCCCCTCAAGCTCCTGCCAATCAAAGACAAGTCAGCAAGAGGACGTGCCGGTACAGCCAGGGGATACCTCCATAAGGACGTTGTTCGTGGACTGTCCATGGCGGACGAGGATGAGCCGGAGGGCGGGGGTGATGGGGGAGGAAGAGGAGGAGGAGAGTCGGAGAGCCCTGGGAACGCCTGGCTCTGCGTAGGACGAGGCGCTCGCCATGGATGCGAACGCGAGCAGGGGGTATAAAGGTGCCGCCATCGGCAATTTAGCTCGGAATTTGGTTATTTTAGTTAAAACTCAGCTAAATATAATAGATTTGGATTGAAATTAGACTGAATGCGGGTAATGTAAGTGGAAAGACGTTAAAATTAGTCGACATGTAGAAACAGGGAAAGTGATGATCTGATCAGTATCATGTCTGGAGTTGGGTGAGCTGGCACTGGAGCAGAGCAGAGCAGAGCAGAGCAGAGCAGAGCAGAGCAGAGCAGAGCAGAGCAGAGCAGAGCAGAGCAGAGCAGAGCAGAGCAGAGCAGAGCAGAGCAGAGCAGAGCAGAGCAGAGCAGAGCAGAGCAGAGCAGAGCAGAGCAGAGCAGAGCAGAGCAGAGCAGAGCAGAGCAGAGCAGAGCAGAGCAGAGCAGAGCAGAGCAGAGCAGAGCAGAGCAGAGCAGAGCAGAGCAGAGCAGAGCAGAGCAGAGCAGAGCAGAGCAGAGCAGAGCAGAGCAGAGCAGAGCAGAGCAGAGCAGAGCAGAGCAGAGCAGAGCAGAGCAGAGCAGAAGAGGAAAGTATCAATGGGATGATGAAGTAGATGATCCAACGAACAAGCGAGATCGACAACACTTCCCTCCAAACAAAACCATGGAGCTGGAGCATGAACACACAAGGGCAGCTGAAACAGTCGAAGCTCGCGGCTTCTTCATGGTGGTGGACACAAACTGTTTCCTCGCTTACCTTCCATGGTTGTCGTGCCTGTCCAAGGCGGCGCTGCACTCGAAGATCAGGCTGGTGGTCCCCTGGATAGTAGCGTGCGAGTTGGATTCCCTGAAGCAGAGACCCAGGTACTTGTGCATGCTCTTGTTCTATCACGACCGTGACGCTCTCCTCCGCAGAGCAAACGACGGGAACTTCGAGATAGGAGCTGCCGCCAGGTGCCCAACCTGAGAGCTCCTGGACCTTGCTCAACGTGTTTGCAGAGCTGCAATTCGCTTCCTCTTCAACGCATTCAAGCATGATCAAGTGCTGGGGCAGGTGATGATATCGAGCTGTAAACATACTCCTCTCACGCACTCCAGACTGTGTTGCAGGACAAGGATATTGTGGACAGCCACCAGACCAGATTGACCAACGACGATCGTATCATGCACTGCTGTTTGCAGGTTCTTTCACTTCCCCTCCCCTTCCCCTTTTTCCCCCCCCCCCCCCCCTTTTTTCCTCCCTCCTACCCTGCTCTCAATTCCTCCTATCCTCCCCTTCCCCCTCTTGCTCCCCTCCCCCCCCTTCTTCCTCCCTCCCTACTTCCTCTCAATTCCTCGTAGCTTCCCCCTGTACCCCTCTTGCTATCCTGCAACCAACTCCCCTGGCTCCTTCAGACCCAATGTTGATGTCCACTGGGAAGGTCGGATTGACAATGGGCAGGTGATGAAGAGCCCCTACTGTCAGAAAGTTCTGCTGCTCTCTGACGACAAGAGCCTGGGTGTGAAGGTTAGTTCGCCTGATCTCAGCTTTCCTGCACGAGTTGACATTTGCTGCAAACAGGGTCTGATGAATGGAATCGAGACCTTCACGTTTGCAAACGTCCCCGGCTACATCCGTGACATGGCAATGCAAGGGTTCAAGGTTCCCCATCACTCTCTGCGTATTGCTGCATGCACACTATATCACTTTTATCCTGTTGTTTCCTTTGCTCTTTCCATCCTTCGTCCTCTGCTCACTTTCTCTCTCTAGCCTCCCCTCCCTTTCTCCACTGATCTCTCCCAATATTACCACTGTTCCATTACCCCCCACGTGAATCTCAGAGCAGGAAAAGGATTCCATGGACATCGATTACATAGATGGAACTGATCCTGTGGGGTGGCTTCCTGTACAGTCATGGTGAGCGTCGAGGAGGAGATCAAGTCGTTGATGTGCCAGCGGGCAGGTTTCAGTCTAACCCTCCCCTCAAGTTCAAAGGAGGACAGACCCAAGTGAGTCATGCTGGAGATGGTTTGTGGAGAAGACTTGCGTTTGTGACTTGTTTCCTGCTGCAGCTGGTGGCGTCAGTAGTTGAGAGCCTGAGAAACTCCGGAGGTAGGAGAGGAGGCAAGGAAAGTCTCGCTGCTTGCTTGACGGGGTTGTCCAAAGACAGCTACAAGCAGCCGACGGAATTGAAATTCCAACCTGAGGGCTATGGGTCATGTCGGACGGAAGAAATCTTTCGAAGGTTCGGATGGCTAGGGTGCAGGATGGACGAGGCTCTGCCGCAAGCTAATGACGAGGTGACAACAGCACGAGGAGGCAGGACGGCAGGACGTGACTTGCTGCTGCAGCTGTGGAGGGTCCTGAAAGAGATCTGTCACAAGGTCGTACCAAAGATGGAGAAAGAGCTGCAGAGTCAGCATGGGAGCGCCTGGGATACGGTCGTGAATTGCCCGCAGCCATGGGAGGTAAGTGAGGGAGTGGAGGTGGAAGAAGGGTAAGAGGGAGGATGCAGGGAGGGAGGGAGGGAGGGAGGGAGGGAGAAGGGCAGGTAGAGGATACTTGAGAGGTTTCTGACTTGCTTGCTCAGGAAGGGGATGTCCTGCACATACTCAGAACATCATGGCGTACAGTCTTTCAGAAACCTTACGGTAAGATCGGACGGATGAATCTGCTTCCGTGCTCGTGAGCTCATGCTCTGCAGGACTCTACTTGGATGAGGTTGCATCGCTCCAAGATCTTCTGAGGAAGCTGAGGAGAAAAGCAACCTTGATAGGTGCTGCTCATGCCTGCTGGAGGGGAGGACTGATGGTTCAGATGCCTCAGTACACGAGTCCCTCGACTACCTCAACATCCTGTGGACCTTTGTCGAATGCTTTCGACTCGAGGATAAGGTGAGAGCTGAAAACTCCTTCCCGCTGTGGCTCTTGACCGAGGAATGGGCAGAAAGAGGCTGTCCTCGCCAGCGCCAGGTACATCCTGGATTGCGTCCGATACCTGGAGCCCAAGGCCGAGTGGGTTTGGACGGGAAGTCTTGACAAGGGAGTGGAATGTCCAGATGATCTTACTGGCGTCCTTTCCATCCTCCTCCCTGGTGTCGAGGCTTGCCAGATGCCGCTCAGGCCGCCTCCTCCTTCCCCACGGCCCTCGAACGGCTTTCTTCCTCAGCCCAACTCCCAAACTGCTGGAACCTCTGCCACCTTGCCAGACAATGACGCCGACCACATGTTGATTGAATGAACTTGGCAACTTTGAACTCAGCGCCGCACAGCCCGACTCATTTCAGAGGGCACTGGGGCACTTCAGAACCCGCCGGTGTGCCTGACCGGCCGGCCCGGGGCGGCCACCTGATCGCCGGACTCAGATCGGACTCGATCGGATCATCCGCGCCGGGTTGACTCAGTGAGGCTAGTCGAAGCCGGAGGCCCGACGGCCGCCAGGCCGCCCGCCGCGGGCTCTGCGGCACTCAGCACAGTGCTGAGGGTTCCCGGCTGTAAGAATAGGGGTACTTTCATAGGCAAAGGTAGGGGTGGTATTCCACAATGGTAGGAGTTGAAGGTATGAGCGGGGAAGCGGGCCTTTGCTTTCCCGCTCTTTCCCGCCACTCGCCGAGCCAAATGGCAGCTGAAGGGGAAGGGAAAGAAGCGGGAAGAGAACAGCAGTCGCAGATAAATGCAGAGCAGAGGCAGTGGAATGAGCACCAAAGATGAGATCATGGAGGAGAGACGAGAAGAGACGAAGCCAGAGTCAGGGGTAGAGTCAGTCAGAGGATGTAAGGGCCATGCTCGGGGCAGGTATGAAATAGCTGTCACTGCACAAAGGAGGGTGGAAATGTCCATAGCAAGATGAAGGATAGGCTGCAGTTGGGTGATCACCAACTAGACGCATGATATGAAAAGATGTCAGGGAGATAGAAGGGACCAGCGCTTACCCAGAAAGAATCGATGCATTCCTTACAACCAACAACTCAAAACTTCCTTGAAACTCCCCTCCTAGATGCTCCACTGATGAGAAGCAAGAGACATTCGAAATGAGCTTCCACAGAGATCAAACGCGCATCAAAAGCTTCTACTGTGCAACTATTGTGTGGTGTAGGATTGCTTGAATGTGATTCTGACTCATGTGTACAGTCGATTGGCGGGCATGTCTGCCACCGATACGTGTCCATCGCCTGCAAAGGAAACATCAGAGCCCTTGGAGACTGTCGAAGATTGCATCATCATTGAAGAGGCTGCTGACCAATCCAACGGAGTGGGAAAGCCGGAGAAGAAGAAGAGGGAGAGGGCATCTGAAAAGCCTGCCTCCAAACCGTTACAAAATCGAAGCATCTCGGCGTTCTTGGTACCTTCTTCTTCGATCTTCAAATGAACAGGACTGAGTCAGTCCTTGTAGATCAAAAACAAGAAGCAGAAGACAGAAGAAGATGCCGCAAAGGCTGAACCTGAGAAGGTGGAGAGCATGGAAATCGATCCTTCTACAACTCCGCAGCAAGAAGAAAAGGATACTCCTGCCGAAGGTGGGTTGCACGTAGACACCATCGATCGAAGTTGATGTGTTCGCAGATCAACACATCTCTGAAGAAGATGTCTCTGAAGTTGTGGTGACAGAGGAAGTGGTCGAGAGCACGGGAGACAAGGATTCAGCTCGAAGGTTTCCCTCAGCGTACTTCCGAGTTTCATACCATGATTCTGTTTCACAGGTCTGAGGCAGAAGACAAGTTGGTCGCCGAAGTTTCGGCTGAAGAGCAGAAGAAGGAAGCTGAAACCAGCGCCAAGGATGATGCCGCAGAGGAGGGAGAATCTTTGTTGAATGAACCCCAGGAGAAGAAGTCAGAGCCGGTCAAAAAACCTACCAAGACCAGCAAACCTGTGCAGAAATTGTCTGATGCAGACAAGGCCAAGAGAATTCTGCAATTGAATGATGAGCTCAACACTTTGAAATCGGACAAGATCTTCGTAGATTCTGCCCCCTTCTTTCGACCAAGTGATGCTGAACTACAAAGTGTACTGGAAGATTTGCAAACGGTAACGCGATTGCCTGTTTCTTTTGTATTTGTTTGAAATTTTATCGTGCAGATGATGGATGACGAAAACAAGAGCCTTCCAATGAAGACGAGACAGATCCTGGCTAGATTCGTCGAAGGCAACACGAAAACTTGCCAGTCACTTTGCGAGAATCTGTTGGAGAAGATTACATCTCAAGCTGGAGATATCAATCTAAATGATTTGCAACCAAAGTTGGAAAGTTGGTTGCAGATAGTTGCAGAGATGCAGTGCAACGACAATCTGAAGAGCTTATACGATGAATGCCAGACTGCTAACGTAAAGGGAAACTTGCATATCTTGTGGAAAGTCAAAGATCTTGCTGATATTCCAGATAAATTTCGTACAATTGTAGAGCAATATCGTAAGATGGAGCTCGCTGTAATTTTCTTTGCACAAAGTTTCCACCTTTCTAATGCAGTATTGTAGGTTTCTGAAAGAATGGTGCACATTCAAAACATGCTTTCGACCGATGATAACAAGACGTTCGCCAAGCTGGACAAAACCTTGCTGGCTATGAAAGACAAGTTTTTGAAACTTGAGGAAAAGGAGAAGAAAGATCGAGAAAAACTTGAAAGCAAAATTGAGACTGAAAGTAATAATTTGTTGGAGATTGTAATAGTTCTGATGTTGGCATTTTCAGGAAAGAAATTGGAAGAGAAAGAAGACAAGCAGAGGAAGCGGGATGAAGAGATCCGGGCCAGAGAAGAGGAGAAGCAGCGCAAAAAGGAGGATATTCGTGCCAAAGAAGAGGAGAAACAACGTAAGAAAGAGGAGGAGCTTGCAAAGACGAAGGAGAAAAAGGAGCCCAAGAAGGTTGAAAAGCCTGACGAAAAAGAAAAGAAAGTCAAACAGGTTTGTTCTGTTTTGGAAGATTTTGTTCACTGCTAACGTTGCTTGCTTCGACAGACCGTTGATAAACCGAAAGATACAGCAACAGTCAAGCAAGCTACTTTCATGGCAAGCTTCTTCAAGAAGTCAGGCGATTCTCCCACCAAATCCACGGTAGATGAGAAGGCCAGTGCTTCCAAAACAGATTGTGTCAAAGCGGCGAACGATAGCGCTTTCAAGGAACTTTCGTCCAAGACTTCGTCCGTTTTCCGTCCATGGGAAGCACCTAAAAATGCGGTAGTGGCAAGCTTTCCGTTCGGGCCTGTCCAGAATTCCAAATCAACACGGGCGGCTCCAGCTGATAGCGATCTGCAAAGCTGGTTAGACTTGCTGAGATCAGAGCCGATCCGTGAACGACCTCAACGAGCTTTGAGAGAGGATGGAAAGATTCACCCCAAGATGAAACTGATTCAGCTAAACATGAAACTTCCAATCGTGAAAACTCAGCTTGTAGATGTTGATGTAGATGCTGCTCAAAAGGTAATTTCCTGAGTAGTGGAAGGGCAAGGAATAACTCTATTTAAGGTGATGTGGGATATTGAAGAGGAAGGGCAGGAGGCAAAGATTGAAGCGATCATGAACGAAGCAGAGCCGACGAGCGATGGTCTTTACAAATACAGGGGACGAATCTTGCAGTTTCTCACTGAAGGAGGCGGTTGGTTTGACTGCAGAAGACCACCCTACTACGGTACTGTATCCCGAGCTAGCATGGCGATCAACGGGAGAAGGCCATTGCAGCAGGACCCCGAGCTTGACTACTCGTATGTTTTCGTACACGTTTTGAGTACTTTTGTTGACACGGAGCTGTGCAGGTATGAAAGCGATGCAGACTGGGAAAGTGAAGTGGGAGAGGGTGAAGACCTTGGGTCCGATCTTGACGGCGAGGATGAGGAAGAGGAATACGAGGAAGAGGATGGCGGCTTCGTTGTGCCAGATGGATACATGTCAGATGACGGCATGGAAAACGGAGTTTGCAAGAAGAAACTGCAACAGATCTTACACTATCAGTCACTACCGGTTGAGCTTACTGAGATGCTTTCTGTCAAGATCCTTGACAACCTTCCGCTCTGTCTATCGAGCGATCCGAACATACATCTTGATCCAGACACCGACTACTACGGAGACGACATCGGCCATGCTCGTGCTGCGAGCCTTGAGGCGGCAATTCAGATCCTCTACAATCATCCGACGGCTGTCGCCTTCACTTACCTGCTGCCTGACAGCGAGCACAAGCTTGCAGGTACAGTATTCCTCAAGGGCCAGAAGGCTCTGGAACAAAAGCAAGAGTTTTCTGGGATGGTGTCTGGCTGCTTGAAGAGAATATCCGACGCGAAGAAGCAGGCAATCTGGAAGGAGCTCTTCGCGTCTAAGAGTGAGGCTGCAGCTATGGCAACCACAGCCAGCAAGCCAAATCAAAACTCAGGCAACAAGGGAGGTGCGAGCGCGCAGATGAAGATCGAGGATAAGCATCTACTGGCGATCGTGAAAATTCTACATGGATCGACAAAATCCAAGAGCGACCTCGTGCAGGCGTTCATTGCCGCCTGCCCCGAGCTGAGCAAGTCCAAGGCCGAGCGGATCATTAGCAGCGTTGCAAGCAAGAAGGTGGAGCTGGGGGCAAGCAGGTGGGTTCTGCTCGATGATACAATCAAGCGAAGTCCCTTCATCCCCGAGATCGCCAAGGAGGCATGGAAGAACAACACAAGGAAGAACGCCGCAGCCGTGTCGTGAGAGGCAGCGACAGATGACAGATCAGCTCTCCTCGTCAAGAGGCCGAGCAGGAACCTTGAACTTGCTTCTTTACTCTTTGATGTAGAACTTTTTTTCCTCTTACAATCTTTTATTTATCATACATTGGAGAAGACACACTCTTCAAAGTCCTGCGCATCAGAACAGCTGCTGCTAGAGTCCAGGAGGTTGTGCCAGTCATGCTCCAGCTCCAGCTCGACAAGCTCCGTCGTCCATCCTGAACTGTCAACAGGCAAGGAGCCTGCAAGTCGGAATGAGTCGAAGGTGAAGTTTTCCTGCTCCTGATCGGAGGAGCTAGTGATCATAACCTGTAGTTCCGACTGTCAGTGGGAGCGCGCGTCAAGTAGCGACAATCACCTCATAATAGCCGGGCTCGGCTCTGCCTGGAAAGTCTTCTCTGCTTCGATCTGCAGCAGTGAGCTGCAGAGAAAAACAGCTGGTTCGCTCCTGGCTCTCTAGCAGATCGAAGCTGATTCCTCGATCTTTGCTCTGCAACTGCAAGGGCGTCAGTGATTCGTGTCGTACGCTCGTCATCGTGCTACCTTAGTATGGGAATCGACGCTGAGAGAGCTGGGGTAGGCTGGTTTGAGGAGAGGAGCAAGAGGGAAAATCTCCTTTCCTGTTGTTTCGTCCTTGACCCTCCTCTTCTTCCGAGAAGAGTTGAGCGCCTGATTTGACGAGAGCAACGCTGGGGCTGAGACTCTCCATGCAAGAGAAGCATACATCCGCCTCTTGACGCTCCGCCGTCTTTCCTGGCTCGAGGATTGAGACGAGCTTTCCTCTTGGCTGACGCTGCTTGACTGAAGTTGACCCCCATGCGCCCCCTCCCTCTTCGGCTCGAGGTCACAGTTGTGTGTATCTGGCATGTGTCAGGTGCGGCGCAGTATCGAGCATGACTCAAGTACCTCTAGGCTGTAGCTCGAACAGATCCTTGACGTTGGGGAGAAGAGGAGGAAGGATCTTGATCTTGCTGCGGATCGGCTCTCAGTCTATAATCCTCTCAACTCCTTTCACTCACCTCTCACTCCCTTCCGCTTCGCTTGTCGAGTCGACGCTAGACTGCGAGCTTGGCTGATCTGCGTCTGCCTCTGCCCCACTCTTCTCGCCCCTCAGCTTTCTTCTCAGGATGGAGTTCCAAAAGTTTTTGATGGCGTTATCAGTCCTTCCTGGCACCTGATCCAAAGTGAGCACAGACGAAAGGGTCTTTCCAGTTTCTTACCAGTTTGGCGATCTCCGCCCACTTATTCCCAAACTTCTCGTGAGCGCTCAAAATGATCTTCTCCTCCTAGTGATAGTGTCAGCAACCCCAACATGGTCATATGCGAGCTGTTGCGACCTCGGTCGACCATGGCTGCCTGCTGATCCGCGGGTCGAGCTGGTTGTGCCACCGCTCCCTGATCTGCTTCGCAGATCTGTTGGGGAAGAATGCAGCCATTTGGCACCAGCGCCGCATGCCCAGCTCTGAGACAAACTTCCTGATGGCTTCGTCCTCCTCTTCTGTCCATGGGCACTTGTTCTGTAGCCGATTTCTGGAGGTGAAGGAGTCAGCGAAGCTGCCAGGGTTTTGAGGAAGCACTTACCGCGAGAGGCGATCCCACATGTCAGATTCAAGGCTGTGCGAGAATTTAGCTTGCATCTTGGGGAGGAACGGAAAGCTTGGGCATGCAAGGCTCCTTGCGTTGTGAGGAGCTGTTCCCTCGGAACTAACGAGCATCCAAACCTGTAAAAGTTCAGAATGATGAAAAAGCATTTAGGTTTTCTTTTTCAATCCACTGTGTCGAACTTCGGAAGACTGGGACACTCCCAGAACTTACAAGAGTTTTCTTGCTACTTTCCTCACCAACGGGATGGCATTCCAACCAGTATTCTTTATTCGACCGAAGGGCATTAAAGTTTTCTCCCATCGTCATTCTCGCATGTTCCCTTCTTTGACCTTTTGACTCCCTTGCGCCCTCTCTCTCAGGACATCTTCTGACGCATTAGAACTCTTCTCTTCCTCTTCATTCTCTCTCTCCCCTGCTTCTCTACCCCCATCCTCTCGCCGTCTTCTAGATTCTGCACATGCCACTGCCATGATGGCTCTCGAATATTTCGCAAGGCTAGTCAATCGAACCCCACCGACTGTGCCGAGGCCATCTGACTCGACGTACCCCTCATTTGTACACTTGTTCACTCTAGGACCCCTGTAAAGCTATGATTTTTGTGGCTCTCATCACCCGTATCAAGAGTACCCACCCCCTTTCAAACATCACTTTCCTATCCACGTTCTGTCCTCGACCATCCACCCTTGACCCAATGACCCCACCTATGAAACTTCCCTCTGGTTGTTAACATTCGCAACCACCCCTACCCCAGAAATTGGGGGAATCTGACAGAGTAATATTCCGCTTGACGACCCCCTATTCCGTGCACTACCCCCTTGTATGGCCCCAGGACACTTCGCAAGGTTCGGAAGTTCATTTCGGGACGTGGTGGTAGGGGTACCACCCCCGTTCCATGACCACCCCAGCATCGATAAGTTTACAACACGAATCTTTCTTTCTTTTAACGGACACGAGGGGCCTCCGGTAGTTTCCTAGGACCCTCCTAGCACCCCCCACGGGCCGGGGAAATGTAACACAGCACAGATTGTCCTCGTACTGATTTTTAACTTTGAGTAAGAAAGCGCTGTACAGCAAAGCAACGGTTCAAGCTGCCAAAGCCTCCGTTACAAAGTTTGATTCCCGGACTCCCGGGAGTCACGGAGTCCGGCCACGGTGACGGGCCCGGGGGGCCGCGGCCGGGTGACTAACTTCCGAATTCAGTTCGGAAAGAAGAGTCAATGATGGCACACTCAGCGGCCGCCCGGACTGAGACTGACGGAGCACCGTTGAAGTTTGTTGGCCCGGTGACTGACTTGTACTATAGTATGCCAAAGTCACGCATATATCACATCCACCTTACTGACGGTTGCCAGTTAGTCACTGTTGAACACACTGCGAACTTTGACCCGGACCACTGACGACATCGGAATCAGAGTCGGTCAGCCTCGCTGGCGGCCCGGCCGGCCCGGGAGCCTGGCCCGGGCCCGGGACTCCGGGGGAACGGCGTAGCAAGACGGCTAGGAAGCCTCCGTTGAAAGTTCCTCTTCCGAATCACAACCGTGACTGTCACGAACGGTACTAAGTCGCCTTGGTTTACCGGCGGGCAGTGCCTGGCACTGGTGGCACGGCTGGCCCCCGGCCCTCAGCCACTGAGTCAGTTGGTACGGTACGGTCTGAGTGGAGTCGCCGATGATCCGGGCGCCGCTCCGGCCGGGCCCCCCGACTCCGCGGCAAGTAAGTCACACTTCTGAAATACAGTACGGTGCGTTACATCGGACATCAGACTCGAAGTCACACCGTGCCCGTGACAAACAACACTGCCGAATGTCAGCCGCAGAGTTCCGAGTTCGCCGGGCGTCACTGAGTCAACTGAGTTCACAGTTAACTGAATAATGCCAATGATTTACCGAGGCGAGACTCTTCAGAGTCGGATCGGACTAGTGGCATTTGATCATCCCGGCAGGATCGCCGGGACAGCCCGGGCCCGGCCCGCGGCAGGCCGGCCAGGGCCCGGCAACCGTGGTCGGCGGCACCCGGGCGGAAGGAACTTAGCCGCTTGTTGCGTACTTTTCACTGAAGGCTACGCCATTTTCTAGGACCACTTGGCCATATCATTCTATGAGCCCCCTATAAGTCTACTTCCCCCCCTACCCTCTCTCAACTAGGACCTCACAACCAGGGATCCTATGACCCTATTATGTTTGCAAGTAAGATGTTTACACCCACTTTGGTGACACCCACCATGGTACTGCAGCCTTGACTCCAGACAAATGGAGGGGTGGGTCTCTCACTTCATGACCCTACCACCCACACAAAGACATGCTACCTCTTCCCCCAATCTCAAGATTGATCGAGAACCTTCCAGAGACTGCCAATCCTTGAGTTTGGGTGTGCGAAAACCAAACTTTATTATCTAATTTGAAATATTGATACAGATTATCAAATGTTCACTGTTTGGTACAGATTTTCAGTGGTCCTTCTACCAACTTGCTAAATTAGATTTAAATTAGTACCACGACAGTCCTTACTGTACTGGAAGACACTTATCATGCTACGGTCATCATTGCAAATCAATACAAATCAATTAGTGACTAAATTCTGAATTTTGTCTGGACAACCTTCTTCCGAAGAGGGGTACTGCCTGAATGCACTAATACCAAAAGAGAGTAATTTATCATATTATTTGATGGATGAGTAAAGTATTATACTTAGCTCAAAGCATGTGATCTGGACTTTTTGAACAGTATCATGTTTTGAATCTACCCCCCTTACTTTCATCTAGCTGATGGACATGAATTCTCGTTGAGGGGTATTTCAAGGAAGTTAGTCTTTGTACCCACCCTACGTCTTCCCTGCATTGGCCTTGTAAGGATTGGGTGCCTTGAATAATAGCTGGTGATTGAAGAGTGAAAAGGGACCCCCCTCGGAATGCTACGTTTCACCTCAAGCAGCCCCGCCGTGATCCTACGCGCAAGCCATGCAGTCTCCTTGAAGATACTGGGAATGGCGGGGCCCTTAGCCTGGCACATGCACACCCGCCTCGCGATTCCTTCCTCTCTCCCTCGAAATCTTTGATGGGTCCCTGCTTATCCACGAAATATGGCAAACCATGATATTCCTGCTGCTAGTGTTTTCCTTGGTATGCGTGACGAAAGCATGGCTCCCTCCGCGTTTCGATCTCCTCTGCATTGTTTCGCTGCATTTCATCTGCTCACTGTGGCCATGATTGAACTCTGCATCAACACCCCAATCTCTGTACCAAGATGACTCTGACGCTGAACTGTGTCTGCGACTCGTACACGTAGTGTTAGAGAGATGGTGGCATTTTAGGACTGTTGGAGGTTCCTCAAGAGATAATTTGACGTCCTGCCTGCCCCTGCTGCTTTTCTTTGCACTCACTCACCTTATCCTACTCTTTCTGAACATTGCTTGGGTTTTTATCAGCCTGAACTTGGTCTTCCTACCAGAGCAAGGCGACACATAAACAGCATTTGACTGGGAAGCCTAGTCCGTGCCACAGAGATGGCGGGATCTCCTACCATGGAGACAGGGCCAGGATCAGATCAAGATGCGCAACAGAATAATGTAGCGGAAGATGCTGGTCAGGTTGCTAGAAAATCTTGGAGGGACGTTCTGAATGCCCAGGTTTGTTCCATTTGACTGATAGCTTTGTTCGTGTTCTGAACTATGTTCCGCTCTCAGCCCAAATCAGAAAACAACAACAAGCAGATGTTTCAGAACAGAAATAACAAGGGAAGAGAGATTCCTCACAAGGCCAAGCTCATCTCAAATGAGAACAAACCGGTGACTGAGTTGCAATCCGATTCCAAAGAGCAATCATTCTTGCCGGGATTGCAGACTGAGAGAATGCGAAGCGAAGTCCATGAGCTTGCTAACCCAATCCCCAGTAACTTACAACACTCTAAAGTTCAGACAGACGTACAGACTGGAGCAATAATCGTTGAAACTGTGGGAGAGCCGTCAATGTCTCAGATGAACCCAGGGAAAACTGAACTCACGCACACGACACAACAAGGGATCCCCTTTTCGCATAGTTCAATGGTGTCTCAAGAGCATGATCCAAACGGAGGACCATATGGGCCGGAATCGTTGGGTCCAGAGCAGCAGGAATTGCTTGACAGAACTTCACTCATGGCGCTTAACGCTGGGGCTGCGGAGTTCAGCCCGTACGGACAACCCATGCATCCGCAAGTAAGATTGACGGCGTTGGGGATGGAAAATAGTCGTCTGATGTTTATTTGTAGCATCCGATGCACTTCATGCCTCAGATGAACGGAAACCCACACGTGAGAATCGCTGGAAGCTCTTTTCAACGTTTCTGACAGTTTCGCTTAGGTGATGGGGCCTGCTCCGTTTGAGATGATGGCGTATTATTCGCAGATGTCTCCTCATGCTCAAGCTTTTTATGGTATAACAGTTGGTCTGCCCTCAAGGAATCTTTAAACGCTGACTAGGATTGCAGGTCCATATGCTTACCCCATGCAAGACAAGAGTCTGGACATGATTCAACTTCAAGGTGTTTGAGCGCTTCTTGACGCTCGTCTTCACTTTTCTCACCATTTGGTAGGAATGCATGGAGGGCCGATGCGAATGCAAGGACCCATGGACCCCTCTAACCCATACTACGGTTACATGCCTTACCCTTATGCCCCTGCTCCCGGCATGTATCCTGGCGGTCCGTTCGTGGGAGCTCCGCCCTCGCATGAATTCTGGGCAAACTCTGCTATGCCTCAAGTTGTGGATGCGCAATCTCACCATGCAGTGCAACCCCCTCAGAGTGTTTCTCCTGCTAGCCATCCAGGTTGCCAGCGAGATGAGAGTTGAAGAGGTGTTTGCTAACAATCTCTGCTCAGGGGGAACCCCAAGCCCAGGCTTCAGTCCGCAAAGACAAGGAAATCGCAAACTCGATCGTGGAGGCAAATCACAACGAAACAGAGCCGAGGTCGTAAGACAAGATGGGCGCGAGGAGGGCGTCGTCAATGAGGGGAAGTTGCCTCAGGGAGCCTGTGCTCCCCTCTCTGAGATGGAACAGGTCGGTTCTTTGGTTTCTTCCTTTCCAACTATGCTGATGAGATGAATGTATGCCGATAAGATGAATATTTGTTGATGAGATGAATGTTGCTGATGAGATGAATATTCCTGATTTGGTGTATGTCTTGGCAGGAGATCTCGCAGATAGGTGAGGTTGAGAGCAAAGTGCTGGGTTCTGTGATGGAGGAAGCGAAATCAGCAGGCCAGCAAACAAGGACGTCAACTGGCGAACTGGATGAGCAATTTCAGATTAAGCTGACAAGCGCAGGACAAGTGGAGGACGCAAGGACAACTGTGATGATCAAGAACATCCCAAACAAATACACCCAAAGGAATCTGTTAGAGCTTATCGATACCAACCATCAAGGAACTTACGACTTCTTCTATTTGCCTATTGACTTCAAGAACAAGTGCAACCTTGGATATGCCTTCCTTAACTTCCGTGAAGCTCGTTTTATTGCCAGCTTCGTCAAGGACTTTGCAGACAAGAGATGGGAGAGGTTCAACTCCGAGAAAGTCTGTGTTGTCACATACGCCAGAATACAGGGCAAGACAGCGCTTATCAACCATTTCAGGAGCTCGAGACTGATGCTGAAGCACGAGAAGTATCGCCCGATCGTCTTCTCTGACAATGGAAAGCCAGAGACTATCCCCGCTGTCAATCGATCGCATGGCCCCCACCGGTCAGGAAACCCGGGCCGTGGTCAGACCTCGATATCCCTCCGAGCCCCCAATGTCGTACACGGTGAGCAACAGGACCGTCTTGAGCTCTTGAGCTGATTCCCTTGCTGCAGGCCCCATCCTTGTTTCGGGACCTCCTGGTCTGATGCAGCACTCCATGCTCGCCATGTCGCCGCTCCCCGCTGTGCCGGGCACTGTCCCACTTGTGCCAACCGCCGGGCAAGTCTCACCGCAAGAGCACGGGCCGGTGGAAGATACTGGCAATCAGGTGCAACGACTTAAAGCCCTTGCTGAGGAAATTGAATCTTGTATACCGAAGGTGATACCAACCGAGAAGCCTGACTCTATGCCGCGGTCAACTGTTCCTTCGATTACCGTGTCCCCAGCACCAGCATGACAGCAGGAGGAGACGAGGAGGAGGCGAGAGTGGCGAAACGTCTCCCTCCTCGATGCTTGCAAGCGTCATGTTGATATTGGGGTCGATCAGAAGGTGTATTTCGATGTTGTCGGGGAGGATTGTGTGTAGGAAGAAGGGCTGGATGGAATATTGTTTACTAGGCAAGACTTCTCGGCTTCGACTTGCCGCCCTGTAGGTCAAGGGCAAGCAGGTGGGCAGACAGGAGAGTCAGTGAAGAGGTATGAGTGAGGTGAAACGCTCGTGGGCGAATACAAATACTTTCAATTCCACTGTTACTACACGGTTACTACACGGTCGACTGCAGCCACATGTTATAAGAGGCTCATGAAAGTGAGTTCCAAGGAGTCGTCCCTCGCGCTTCTTCCCTTCCTTTCTTCCCAGTACCAGGCGTTCGCCTTCTCCCTGCGGGTGCTCAGCTCCTTTCAGCAACCTTGAGCTTCAAACCTTGAGCCTTGGGGCTCTCCGACTTGCTCTTGCGGAATGATGTCGGCCTTCAACGTCACGTTGGATCGCTCTGTCTGGTCCTCTCCTGCCCTTGGACTTCGTGTGTTTACAGCATCTGTGAGGGAAAGAGCTGAGAGGGCACAAGGGCTGAGCAGATTGACCTGCGTCGTCGGATTGAAGCTTCTTCTTGTCTGGGTACCTCGCCTTGATTGACACCAGCTGCCCTGTCGATTTTCTGATTTTCTAGAGTGAAACATGTTACAACGATCGAAGTTAACAAGTGAGTTTGACAGTATTCTTACAACTGGTATGGCTTGATCCGAAGAGCGCAAGATGTTTTTGATCTCCTCGATAGTGGAGTCTTCAACATTGATGCCGTTTACCTCTACAAACCTGCAGAACATCACAAAAGTCCTCAAAACATCTACCACAAGCAAACCTGTCGCCATGCTCGAACATCGGTTTTGAGTTGAAGGTGCCAGACGATGACATGGATGTCGTCATGACTTCTCTTGCTGACTTGAGGGCCTCCGAGTCTGACTCTTCCCCGGGGATTTTCGCTTGCACGCCTGCTACCTTCCAAGACACGTCGGGCTCCCCCTCTCTGTCCTCGTCGTCGTTGTCCGCCTCGAAGTTGGTGTTGATGGTGTCCATATAGTGCTCGTGCCTCTGCGCCTTGCTGACCTGCCATGTCGAGCAAAAGGAGGAGCTCAGGATGTGTGAGAGAGAGCGGGAGGAGAGAGAGAGACGAGAGGAGCGAGAGGAGCCAGGGAGCCAGGGAGCCAAGGAGCCAGGGAGCGAGCCAGGGAGCGAGGGAGGGAGAGAGGGAGGGGCCACATACTGTTAGGAGTCGGTTCGTTTTCATCAGGTCCATCTTCAGTTGGTAGATGGTTTCTTCTCTTTCCTGTATAGCTCGCCTGAGGTTCATTATCTCCTTGCTCGCCGTTTGTTGAAACCCCGCCATCTCTTCCTGCATCCTGTACAAGGCTGTCTCGAGGTGCTTGCTCTCTGCCCTAGAGCTGCTGCTGTCACGCATAGCAAGACTAGAAGGATCGAAATCTCACTGATCGCTCGGCTCCTGCAGCCTCCCCGCCATCGCCAGTTTCTGCAGTGCAGATCCCCTTGAAAGGAATGGTATCAGATCTCACCCCATTCAAGCATGTCGACGATACAGCTCTCGCTCTAGCTCTCCGATCCTGCCTTTCAGCTGCTCGCGCTCGTCTCTTGCCCTCTGTTCAGCGTCTCGCAGCCTGCAAGTCAGCGATCAGAAGGCATCGCCACAACTTCCAGACAGACTCACGTCTTGCTGAAGTTGAGCAGACAGGCATCTTTGGTAGCAATGATCTATGGACGCCCGTAAGACGTCAAAGGCAAGATGTTTCATCTTACAGCATTCAGATGCTCGATGTCTTGTTGCATTTCTTGTGAGTGCCGAAAGAGGTCGGTGGACTCAGGAAGCAGGGCCTGCTGTTGGTATTTTAGTACCTTGACATGTAGTGTTTTATCTCGATATGTTGCTATGCCCGGCTTCTTCGCCTTCCTCGCAGGGCATCGAATCAGCTTACTCTCCTGATTGTCGATCTAATCGCATCATAGCCGCGTCTACTAGTGGTTCTCGTCACTCCCTGGGCTACTCCTGCCGATCCGCCGGCCCCTACTGCTCTGAATTTGGCACTTGAGTTGATCATGCCGCTCACGATCAGCTTGCATCCCCCGGCCTAACCCCCGCAGGCCCTACTGAGCTCTCAAACAAGAATCATAACATGGCTATCGCGCTCCTTCCTGAGGCTCCTCACAGCCGCAGTCCGTCACCACCACCGTCACCGTCACCGTCACTGTAGGCTAAGCTGTGCCCCAGTGCCCCAGTAGGCTGCTAGGAGGCTCAGAGATCGGATCAGATCAGTCTCAGCATCCCTTCAGGCTCTCAGCCGGCAAGTTGCTCCTATCGCTCATCCAGATCTTCATGTCTTCTGTACCGTAACTTCTCCTCTCCTACGCCGCCCCCTTCTAGCCCGTACCCGGTCCTCTCCACTAGCTAGCCTGGCGATCCATGGCAGGCTTGTTCCTTAGTAGTAGGGCCGGACCCGGGCCTGCACTCGGAGTCCGGCTCGCCGGAGCCTCGGACTCGTTCGGCTAAACGCCGATCACCAGCCTTCACTCAAAGTCACCAGCACTACAGTACTTGAATGGAACTTTCCGAGAGTAAAGATTGTGCTTGCAGGATGCAAATGCATCGCCGTTATTCCACCGACCCCGTGGCCCAGTGGGGTCAGTGCCGGGACACGGTCACGGTCAGTCGCCGAGTCCGCCGTATCCGGCATCATTCACGGGTCACCCCGGTGGCCCGCCGCCGGGCGGCGCCCGGCCCGGCCGGCCGCCTCAGTAGCCTGCGCCGGCGGCCGGGCCCTGCCCAAATTTTGCAGCACCAGCATGAGGGTGATGAAAATTGGTTGAGATTTTGCAATGGCATGGGGCGGAAGTGTTAAGCTGGTAACAACGGTGGCGGTAGTATGCTGCATGGGAGGAGAGAGGAGAAGGATGGGCTCGTCTGCAGGAAAGGAGCAAGCAGGTATCCTCTCATCTTGCAACGATTGCCTTCAATCTCTCGCTCTCTACGAAGTCACCGGGGCTGCGTGTAGGATTGGGGAGTGAGCTGCTTGAAGTGACTGGACATGGCAGGCCATGCAGGAAGCAGCGGGGGCTACTACAGCAGGAGCGATGCTTTAGGGAGCATGCCTTGTTCGAGCATGCGGAGATTGAGGTCGGTTGTGTTCCTCATTCTCCAACCTGAAAGACATGCTCTAGGGGAGGAGGGCAACCTGGACCGCAAGTTGGACCCAGCGCTAACCTGAGCCCTGAACCGAGCGACATCAATGTGTTCAAAGTGGTAAACATCCCTGGTTGACGACATGCTGGCGTGAAGCATGATGCCAGGATGACAAGAGAGCCGCGTTCCCGGACTTCGTCTGTATCAAGGTGGAATAGCTGCCAAACTGAATCTCGGTTGTATTCCCTTGACCACTTTCGGCAATACAGTCAGCTCTACGCCGAAAGAACTCGAATATATGGAATGGGAGGTTATTAATTTTTTCTACTTCATCAGTGTCTCTCACTCCTCTTGTTTCCTTTTGAATTTGTTCTAGGAGGATTTTCATACGGTGCGGCAAGAAGGAGCAGGAATTTCTTGCCCACAGGTCGCACTTCATGACAGCATTGCCTCCCTTCATCCTCACCTGCGTGCCTGGAATAGACGGTACACCTGGAAAGGGCCTATACGTATAGGGACGATGAAACATGGGACCGGAAAGGAATGTGTTGTGCGGCTGGCAGGAGATGACAAGGTGATTTCTTCTCAGTGCATGATCAGATGACCGCATCTACCTGCTCGATTCTGAGCTTGAGTAAGGTGCAATTGTGGGGGAAATGGGAATTTCAAGGAGAAAGCATCGGCATCTTCCAGGGGCTCTTCCTTATGCATACAGTTTATGGGCCATACAACCCACTGATGCTCATCGAAAACAAGGCAGATGTGGGTTGCGAGCGGTATGACGTGTTCTTGTCTCACCGAAGGATGTTTAGATCTTGTTCGAGCAATGCGAGATTCGAAACCTGGGAGGGAAGTGCATTGTAATGGTAATGCCTCGACAACTGCGTGACTACTCGCAACATTGTTGACAATTCGTCCTACAGCGACAGTTTGCAGAGGTCACCATGGACAGGTCAACGCCTTGCACCTTGCCAGTGTCATATTTCTTCCGTCCATTATTCTTGGCTATTTACTCCCCATATTCCGTTTGTGTTGCTCTGGTTGTGCTTGTCTAGCCCCACTGTCTGTCGCCCACCTCTTTTCCTCTCCTCGTCCTCGCACTGACTCGATTATCTGCAGATGCACCGTTGGTGGAACATGCGGGTGCCGTCCTCTCCCAAATCATTTTTCTGCTAACGTCTCACATGAAGATCTCGTGCCCCGGATCATCACAAGCAGCTGCAGGTGAGGAACACCGACACTATTGAGTTGAATGAGAGAGGAAGATTGATCAGCATGGAGCTGTGTATCAAATGGAGCATTGTTTTTCTCAGTTAACAACCAAATACGATGAGGCCAAAAGAGAGAGGGGGGGGAGGCTGTGGGAAGTGCCAAACATCAGGGAGGCAGGCAAACCTTGCAGAGGAGCAGAGAAAAGAGCATTACGGATCAAGAGTACCGCAAAGTAGTTACGTGGCTTGCAGATGTGGAGGAAACGTCTTATACCAGTGCTGCAAGGCCGGCTGCATCAGGAGAAAATGCGGTATCTTGAGAGTGTTCCTCCTGGAATCCTGATAGCTGTGAAGTGCATCCAAAGAGAAGAGGAAGAAAATGAGTACACGGATCGACCCTGAGAAGCATTGGGCACCCGGTACCTCCTGCCTGACTTGAGTCAAGCTCTTTCTCCTCATGGCAACATGGCAGGAGGGTGGAGGTTTGCCTCCGATGGCATCTCTGTGGAGAGCGGATCGTGGCTGATAGCCAAGAAGGTAGGCGATCTTGCATCGCTAGCGTTTCATCATGATGAGATTGGCAGGTTCTCTTTGAAGACACAGGACGAGCAGGTGACCTTGTCCTCCAATTTGTAGTCACTTCCTCGCTGCTTGCAAGCTGTCCGCTGGCATCTGTACCCAACCCCTCCTCCTCCTGCCCTCCTCCTTCACTTTCTCTCCCTCATCCATTGTTCCTGTTTTCAAGACCACGCTAACATGATCGTCTTGCTCTCCTCTTCTTCTCTCCACATCTCGCTCATCATCTCAGGTGGAGTTGCTCTGAGATTAGTAGGACACGCTCGTGCCAACCTGTTCGAGGTTTGCTCGCTGCCCTCTCAACTTGTCGACCTGAATTCCTACCAGTGTCGCTTCCAACGCAACCGAGTACACCTCGCAGCCGATGCTACAGTGAGTCTGCCGCGCTCTTGATCTACCTTGCTGTCTGCCTCCCTTCCTGCCCCGTACTCTCCCTCTCGGCTTATCGCCTTGACATCGAACCCGCCTCCACATGCACGAGCTCTGCTCGGCTCCCCCCTCTTCTCATCCCTAACCATGAAATTCCCCAAGGTGGTCATGGACCTGGAGAAATGTGACACCTTTGAGTTCGACGAGAAACGCAAGGACGATCCCGTAACATGACTGTGACTCCCTCCTGGTGCTCATCTCCTCCCAGAGGTACCATGGTGACGTCACCAATTTCTACGCACATCGAGCCATACGGCTTCCAGGAAACGGAACAGCGATTCTCGAGGTAGGATTTTAGCTTGGCGGGTGGGAGGAGGATATGGACGTGTTGGACAGGCGCAGGATCCGGATCCTCTTTCAGGGAGGAAGTGGAGGGAAGTCAACACGCTGAACAGGTACATCCCGCCTCCACGCTGACGCCCTCGTGCTAAATTTGAAATTCAGGTATTGGACGCCTGGGGCTGCTGTTCGCGGTGTGGACCCGTACAAGAAGATCAAGAGAGACAAAGAGAGGAAAGAGAGGAAGGAGTTGAAGGTTCCTCCGTCTCCTCTACACTTGTGCTGCTTACATGCGCCTTGCTCAGGCAAAGTTAAGGTTGAAGTACGAGGCGATGGGGTATCCTGGTATCCCAAAGGATGTGGTGAGAGGGAAAATGGCGATGCGTCCTGTAGGTAACTCGGCTGCAGGTCATAGCAGTCAAGAGGAGGGACTTTACTGCGTTCACGCGCCCCAAGTCAAGGAGAAGTATGTGGAGGAGGAGGGTGAAGAGAACGAGCAATAGACGGGGAGAGGGTGTGTTTGTCGGCTGACTTGTTCATCACAGAAAAAGTCTACTTGTGATGATCCTGACATGTGGGAAGCTCAAGGGAGATTATGAGGAAAGACAGAAGCCAGAAGAAGATGCGATTCAAAGACGCAGACATCTGCGCATTTGCTCTTTCCTTGATTACCATGTGTGCTTTGCTAAAACAAGGGGACATCTTTGGTTGGACCTCTTTTAATCAGTTCGTAATAGTTTTGACATGTACATTCATGGCTTTGTCATGGTCTTTCCATAGATTACTTCGCACAGCCTCAGACGCTCGGTCCATGCCATCCTCTCCCACAGCCTCGAGTCCTGCCCGACTTGAGTCCCTCCCCTCCCACACGCAAATCCCCCTCACCTCCTCCTTCGCCATGAACCTCTCGTGCGCCATGGCGATCGCTGCTGTCCTGTGCGACTGTAAGAGGAAGGAGGGCGGCCGCATATGTCTGGTACCTCACGTTAGCAGGGACGAGCCTGCGAATGACTTTCTCCGCATCCTGTCGGGGCATCACAACACACACGATCCAAGGTATCTCACGTCTTCGTCCATAGCATAATGGTCGCTGATGAGAAAGTCTGGAATCTTGAGCTTGCTTTCAGGGCCGTCCTTCCATCGAGTCTTCATCTTCAGTTGTTTCTCCTTCTGTTCTCACCATCAACTCACTCCAGCTCAATCCCACCCTCTCCTCTCACGTTGAGGATCCTGAACTTGTTCTGCATCCTCGTCGGGTTGTTCCTCAGCTTCCTCGCCAGCCGCAGGATCCATCGCTGTATCCTGATGGCAGCAAAGATCTAGATACCAAGAGCATGATCATCACAACATGATGCAAGGCAACGTGGCAAGTGAGGTCATACATGCGTGAGGTTGTAGTTCCCTTGCGGCTGCATCTCTGCCACGTCTCTACATCGCTTGCGTCACGCTTCACGCTGGTTCCTTCACATCAGATCACCTCACAAGCTGTCGGTACCCATCGTAGCGGGGGATCAGCTTCCGACTGACCAGCTCGTCTTCGAACTCTGCTATCCTGTTCCTCTGCATGTGTACCAAGGGCTTCTCCAGCGCGAGGAACAACCTGTCTATCTTCTCCGTTTGCTGAAATCCCAGGAGGTCGATAATCAGCTCCGCACAGTCGCGTTTGATCGCCACCACATGCTCCCCGTCAACCCCGTACTCCCATGATTTGCGCAACCAAGTCATGAGATGTCTTGCACATTCCATGTCCCCCCTTGAAGCGATGCGTCTTAGGCACTTGATCTGTCAGCGACGTAAGAAACGCAGCGGCTGGAGGATCAACAACTCACAACTTCTGCTCTGACGAAGTGACTCTCGTCGTACATGAGCGGGTAGAGCTCCTTGAGGTCGAACATCTCTTGCTCGCTCACAAATTTCTGCTCCCTCAACATCAGCGCTTGCGGGCCACGAGGTCGGGTACCTGGATGGCCTTGATGACGGCAATGCGAACGGCCGAGCTCTCATCGTGCAAGAGCTCCAGAAGCTCTCGTGGGAACATCCTCCCTCTATCCAGCACAAACTGCTGTATCGCTTCCACTGCAGCCCGCCGGACCCAGTTGGCCGAGTCTTTAAGGCTGGAGGAGATCTTGTGGAGCAGGGCGCGGTCAGCCTTGCCTTGGCTCTTGGGCAGCCTGATCTGATCCCACAGGGCCGAGAGGTTGGAGAGGTTCGACGACCTGCCCTCCAGCTTCGAGGCGCTTGAGAGACGACTGATGGCCACCAGCGCTTCCTTCTTCTCCATGTCCGTCGTGCTCTCCGAGTCCAGCACCACGTAAGCATGTGCAAGTACCCTCCTGCTGTCGGTGTGCAGGAGGATGTTGTCCAGGAGCTGCGGCACTAGCTTGCGAACCTCTCGGTCCTCGTGGTTGAGCAAGTCCATCAGAATGTCAGTCGAGCTCTCGTCCGTCGGGCTGGAGAGGCGGGACAAGCACTCGGCGATGTGGTACTTCCGCACTCCCTTCACCTCCTTCAGCATCTTCTTGAGCACGCCGATGATCCTCTCGTCCCCCTGCGTAGCGAAGTGGCACAGAGACTCTGTGGCGAAGGTTCGCACCGACCTCTCCTCGTGCGTGAGGCACATGATGAAGCCGTCCAGCGTCTGATCCCCCCCCTGCTGCACCAACGAGGACAACACCCCCATGACGTCACCATGGGAGGGAGTCTTACCCGCCCGCACCTCTCGGAGGAACGCCTTCTCCCTCGGCAGCAGCTGCGGCAGGTTGAGGTCGACGAGGATCGTCGAGATGGTGTTGCGCTCCTCGTGGGAAGTAGAGAGGAGGTGACAGCACAGGGCGACCAGCACGCGGTCGTCCCGCGCGTCCCTGAGAGCCTCCAGCATGCGGATGGCAGAAGTCCGGACCTCATATCGCTCGTCGCTCATGACACGGAAGAAAATGGAGAGCATCTGCTCACACGTCAGCAGGGAGGCCCGTCACGTCGGGGAGAGTGAAACCTCATCTCGATCAGTTTTGGAAGAAACCTTTGCGAAGCTGTTCACTGCTGTCTTGCGAACTCGCCAGTCCTTGCTTTCTAGCAGCTTCAACAGGCTGTTGTCGATCACTGCCTTGGTTCTTGGAGAGAATATCCCCTGGTCTGCTTCACTGATCTTACACAGAGAGTCTAGAACAGCTGTTTGAATCCGGTGATTCCCAAAGGGATCCTTAGACGTATCTTGAAGCATCGCAACCACCTTGGAGATAACAAACCTGTCTTCTCGTGTCTAGAGCATCATCAAGGCCATTAGTCAAGCCAAGCAACGTCACACGTTAACTGACCAGAATCTTTGCCAAGCAACTCACGGCGCATTCACGAATTCTTGGTCGATCGTCGTCAAGCTGCTCGCCAACGGCCAGAACGGCCTTGGGGTCACCTCGCTGCACCTGCTGGGAGAGCTCTTCCATGGCGATGCACTTGACGTTCACGTCCTTGTCGTACACGGCCTTGATGAAGCCGTCGATCGCCACCGGAGACCCGGGGATGGTGACCTTGGACAGCACCTGCACCGCTGACTTCCTCACGATGGCATGGATGTGATCGAGGCGCTGCAGGGCCTGCTGGATCAGCTTCTCGTCCAGCGCGTTCGAGAGCTTCGGAAGGACCTCACAGGCTGCAGTAGGTCAGTCAGTAACAGTCATCTCGCGACCCCCCGCTGGTGTTACCGGCAGCCCTGACAAGGTCGTCGGAGTCTTCGATGCAGGAAGCAACGGCGATGATGGCGTCTTCATCACCCGGGTGAGCTATCTTCTCGATCATGTTCACCGCAGCCAGCCTAATCTCGCTGCTGGGATCCTTCATGGCCGTGCACATTCCCTTCACCGCCTGCACGCTGCCATGAGCCTCGGGTCGCGGTGGCAGGGGTAGATTACCTCCTTCATGCCAACACATCCGATGTAGAACATGGTCTCCAGCGAGTCAAGTCTGACGTCAGCGATGGTGTCCTTCTCTATCCTCTCCGTCAGGTTCTTGATGATGATCCGCTTCCAGTTGTCCTGCTCAGGGATTTCTTCCCCATCTGCCAGCCCCGTCACTTCCCCCGCATGTTTGCACGACGTTTGCTTTCCTTTCCCTGCGAACTTGGCTATCGCTCGGATCGCAATCCTGCGGACTTCACTCTTGACGTGCCTGAACTTGCCGATGTGACCCATCAAGATCAACTTCTTGCTCTCATCGTTGAGCCGCAGAGTCTTGGCCACGGTCTCTTCAGTCGCCGAATCTTGCAGTGAATCTCTCAGAGACTCACATTAACTCACAGTGACTCGTTCATTAACTCAGTAACTCCATGTTCCACTCAGTTATACTGTTAGTAATCCTTTTAGTACTGCTCGGTAAATGACTGTAACTCTATCACAGTGAAATTGCGAGCAATACTATCGGTAACTCTCAATTACACTATCAGTAATACTATCAGTACTTTGAGTTACCCTTTCCTCACGTCTTCCCCTTGTCTCCTTACTCACCTCTAGACCGTCGGTGTCGCAGTCTCGAGCTCCGAGTGGAGTCCTTCCTGTGAATATGCTCATCCACTATGCGGAGCTCGAGCTCTATCGCTGCCGATGGCTTGCTGGCGCTTCCGGCAGCTTCTTCTACAAGAGGAAACCTGAGGAAGCGGCATGTGATCACAGGAGGGAGGGGGAATATTGAGCGTCGCACCATCCTTGCGCTAGGATGCCGACGGGCAAGTTCTCGTCGATGCTGATGTCAAAGCGTCCCATCAGGTCGTCTCCTTGCTTGATGTTGTCCGGTAGCAGATCCTCGTCGTAGACTTCCACCCTCAGCACCTGTTGCCACCCTTGTCACTCCTGCATCCCATCCATCGCTTCTGTTCTACAGGTTTCTCCTCCACGTTTGCCGTTGAAAACCTTATCGTCTCGTTCCAGACCGGGTTCAAGGTCGCTCGCTTGACGCTTGTCTTCTTGACCAGACCTAGAAAGCTGAGCGAGGAAGGAGTGATCTACCTGCGGCACGCATGTGTATCTACCTCATCTTCAGATAAGGATCGCTCTTCGTCAAGTCCATGATCGGTAAGTTTCTGCCGCGCAATACCTTGAGAGCAACTCGTGAGCCACAAGCTCGATGGAGGGGTGGAGGTTGAGAAACCTTCACTTCCAAGAACTTGTGCCTGATGTGCCTCTCCATGGAGATGAGCAAGTGGTCGAGTGAGTCGCTGAGAGTCCCGATCCTCGAGTTGATCTGCGTTCACTTTGAATCGGCACATACAAACAGATGCTTCACTCACCCGATCTCTTCTTCTGCGTTTCTCCTCCAGCTCACGTCGCGCGATGGATCGAGCATAAAGCGGCATGTTATCACCCAGGGGCTCGTCCATCGGATCTCCGTTCTGACGAGCATTGCGAGAGTTGTTCAAGCTGCCTTCCTGCATGCCCAGAATCTCTCCGGCCTTGCCGCAAATCTGACAGCGAGTCTTGAGGGTACTAATCCGGCAGTAGTAGCTGCAGGTACCAGCCTGATGTTTAACAGCTGATCATCGGCACTTGTATCGACACGTGACTTGTTGTCTTCCTGCCCTGTTGATCATCGGCGCCTGTTGTCTTTCTCCTCTCCTCATTGGAGCGCTTCAACGCATTTCAAGTTCCTACTGGTGGCATCGAACGACCCAGTTCCTGTACTTTTGTAGGCCCTCATCCCCCCTTCCCCTCATTCAGCACATCCTATCGTCCTGTAACTGCTGTAACTGCCAAAACAACTTCCCCGATAACAGGCAGGTGAAGGAGAAACCATTGTCTTCCCCAGCACCTCAACCCACTCCGCTCACGTCTCTCTCCTCCTTCCTTCCTCTTCTCCCTCCTCCCAGCCTTCCAGTCAACCTGTACCATCCTCAGAGGTGGCCGAGTTCGCAGCATGGGATCGGCAGCTTCGAGACAGGTAAAGATTGAGGTACATTCCCATAACCCGATTTCGTTGTCCCTTCGTCCTCATTGTCGCTTTGATTTCCCTCCTGTTCATCAGTCCTCTTCCCCCCCCTCATTATCCAGCACTTATTCACGACTTCATTGCCTCTTGCTGCTTATGTTATTCCCTCTCAGGCTCAAAAAGATGGGAGTAAAGAAAAAGACAATGCCATCATTCAAGGACGGGTACCTTTGCCTCATGCTGTCGCAATGGCTGACGAGATCAAGGTCCCACTACCCAGGTACCAGGACTCTAAGGCGCTGTTAGAGTATGCAGTCCGGAAGATGAAAGAGGAAAACATCATTGAGGGTGTTTTGAAGTGGCAAGAAAAAGAAGTTGATGCGATCATCCCGCCTGAAGCAGAAGAGGTGTTTCAAGGGGTTTTGTTCCTCTCTCTTCTCTTACCCGTTTGCCGTAGCCCCCATCCTCCACTCGCTGCTTCCGTGGTAAGCTTCCCCAAGGCTTCTCGAAGACTGGACTCCCTGTCTTTCAGGTTTCTCAATAAACATCCTACAAGAAAGTGACTTGAGACAGCAACTAGAACGGATCTGGAACGCAAGCAGCGAAGAGGAGGCAGAGCGGGTGCAGATGGAGGAGTTCAAGTCTCTCATCTACGAGGACGAGCACTGTGTTGGTCTTGTGCCGTCCAACTTCAGAGAGAACAAGAATATTAGTCCTAACGGCATCAACCTGTCGAGCTTCCACAAAGCCAAAGATCGCGGTCTTACAAGCCGTTATCACCTTCTCATGCTCCCTAAGGCTCGGCGGTACAACGCATGCACACTCAGCAAGCAGGATCTAGAGCTGTTGAAGCACATGGACACCGTCGGGCGGAGGCTCCTCCTAGCTCTTGCGGCAGCTGACTCGTTTCCTGCTGTGAGAATAGACTGAAGTCTTCTTGAGGGCTGATGAGCCTGAAACAGGACGGAGAGAGCAATCTAGATCGGCCTCTGACACGAGCAGAGCTGAAAGAGATTTCAGACAAGGTCAAGAACAACCAGCTCGACCTGGGGACTCCTTTCTACTTGTACGTCAGCTCGCCGCGAACGCTGACCTTGCTCGCTCACGTGCTCGTTGTCTTTGCAGACCAGGTGGAGGAGACCTTTGCCCTGAAGCCGCAGAAGCTCAGTGCTCACAGGTGGTGACAGCTTTCCAGGTGATGTTTCCTTGCTCTTCGTCGCCAAGAAGTCACATTCTCTCAGGTCTACCCCAACCACAGCGTTGGCTGGCTTCACCTCCACGTCTTTGCAAGCATCGGCCTCACTCGAGCAGGGTTCGGGACTTTCATTATTCCATTCCTCCTGCCTTGCCACGAGCTCCCTTCCTAGCCGCCCACGCCTCCTCACTCTCTTCTATTTGTTCTTACATCTCGTTGTGCTTTTTGCAATCTTCCTGCCAGTTTTTGACGAGCTGATCGCAGACTCAACTACCTCACGAAGAGTCCGGTAGGGTTCGCCAAGGGAGAGGCAGACGGTACGATGACGCCGTTGGAGCATGTTTGCACTTGGTTGAAGTCAAAGTGAGGCCATAAATGTCTTGTTGCATCATAGAAAGTTTTTTGGATACTAAAGTTACAGCTATGAGCTCAGAATTGTAGAGTGAGAGCGCACACAAAAATCAATCAAAATAGATATACTACATCCTTCTGCTCATCGCGGAAGCCTCTGTCCCAGGGGAACCGACCGTTCTCATCTGACATCACAATCTTCTTCATGTCAGACCTTGACGGTGCAAGTCAGAGAATGTACACCTGCATAATCTTGCTCATGTTCTCCGAGTCCTTTTCAGGGTTGTGAATCCTGACGTAGAGGTCTGCATGCTAGCCGTCAGGAGCAGGAGAAGGACAGAGACAATGAATGACCTGCGAGCCTGGCGAACTTTTCATTGACAAGCTTGCTATCCTTGGCTTCCTTCAGAGCGACTCTCCTCCCATCTTGCAGCCGTCAGGGGTCAAGTCACCGCGAACAGCCCCCTCGCTACTTACCGATTAGCTTGTCAAGCCGAAGAGAGTCAGGTACGTCAATGAGTGCGTACTTCTCCTCCAACTCTGCCACGCACTGCCGGATGATTGACCTAGCGCCCATCAGGCTCTCGCTTGTGCTCCCTACAACCAAAATCTCGAAGCCAAACCCAAAGCTGCAAGACACAGAGCTCGTTACAAGACACCGGCAGGAAATCCAGCTCTTCCTCACCTCCCACTCAGTCCTACGGTGTAAGCAACAGGCGGAGAAGTAGTCCCGTCGACAACAACAGCGAACCCATGCTCAACTGCTTGCGAGTGTGAGTCTGCAGTCACGCATGCAGCTTACAGAGACCTATGGTCTCCCAGATCTCATCCAGCCGCTGGGCCTCGATCCCAAACTTCACTCCATGCCTGATCCACTGCTCCTTTATCCTCTCAGCCTGCATCGACTGCCTCTTGAGATCCGAAGTCGGAAAGAAGTCGAGCTGAGCGAGAGGGAGGTCACGTCTCGAGCACCACGAGGACAACAAGCCATCACCACATCCTGAATCTCTTCCGCATTGAGCCCTTCTGAATACACGTCCAACAGCTTCTCGTACGCCTGCGCCATTTAAACAAACAAGAAAAATCAGAACATCAAGATGTGCTTGCGGCCTATTAGGGGAAGACCTCATTCATCGATTCCATCTGATCGAGCTCGTTCTAAGTTCAAGTCAGAAAAGTAATCATCACAGCATTGACGACAACCAGGTCCCCCGAGGCCTCCAAGATCGATGGAACTTCCTCTGATTCACGCGACACACTGCTGAAGCACCAGCGATCAGCTCAACAGCCATGGCATTTTTCTTCATTTGCAAACCTTGCCGTCAAGCCCGAAATAAGATTCTCAACTGCAATCCGGAGATCTTGTTGACCCACTTTGAGCTTCGACTGAACCGTCTGACTTCTAGCCGAGATCAACCAAACGATGCGCCCAAGTGAACAATACGTACCGCTTCACAAACTTCTTGGAGGTGACTTGGTCCGCAAGAGGTCTCAATCTGATGAAGGTGTTCGTCCTTGGCTTATCACCTGATCATGAAGAAGCATGAGTTCGTGTCTTGAGGAGGATCAGTACCCACCTAAGGTCTTGTCCTCGCCGGAAGAACCATCCGTTGAGCTTGAGAAAGTTCTCACGTTCTCTCTCAGCGTCGGGTTAGCGGATGCTAAAGACAGGCATCAGCTCAACTAGCAGATAGAAAGGAGGGAAGGAGGGGCAATGTGGAGAAGCCCGTACCTGAGAGATGTGAAGGGAAGGTCCACGAACGGTCGGCCGAACTGGCAGCCATCGTCCGACGGTTCCACATTGAGCTACCATGTTTGGTTGTTCCTCTAGACTGAGAGCGGGAGGATGTGCATGCAAGCTTGCGTCCTTGTCTTGTCACTGCTTCTCTAGCGATGCTCCTCATTGTTATTCTCATCGCTCTCCCGCTCCCATCGCCCCATCCCCGCCCCATCCCCGTAAGCCCCAGCATGCAAGTTACAGGTTGCGCTGGGTGGGTCGGGAAAGGGGGGTAGGGTAGAGGTAGCCTTTCCTGGGAGGGTATTGATCAATTGATGAAATATGTTTTCTATAAATTTCTTTAATGGTGAATTGAGAAACTATTAAACTTTTGCCATATTCATCAGTGCTCAAACATTTTTAGACCAGAATTTGCAGGGAAAGAAAAGGAAAGTTCCAGGGAATGTGTGGGTGTAGGATCAGGGTGGGTAGTCGAGGAGGTGTAGATCGAGGAGGGTAGGGTGGTCCACCTACTGCGGAGCGTGACGGAAAACGACTGAACTTCGGTGGAGGGAGGAGAGAGGAGAGGAGAGGAGAGGAGAGGAGAGGAGAGGAGAGGAGAGGAGAGGAGAGGAGAGGCAGGAAGCTAGGTAACAGGACGTGTACTCCCTGGATTCTAAGTAGCGACGAAGACAACGGAAAACTTCCCTGAACCCTCGAGGATGGGAGGAGAAGAGGACAATCGTCGCGCTGCGACGTTGCAGTTTGATCAGTTCCCCTTGTGGCTCAGGAAAGGACCGTGGTCACCCGCCGCGTATGCCTTCATCACGTTGGCTGTTGGGATATGGTTTTATCTTGCTCCTCGGGCTGTGGCGATGCTTCCTCCTACGCAACTGTACGGTTCTTAGCGCGATTTCAACTCCTCTCGTTCTCTTGTTCTTTCTGTGTGCGCCCTGCACTATCGGTCACCTGCCTGTCTGTTTCTCCTTTGTTTACCAACCCCAGCCCTACCTTTCTTCTCCTCTTCCTTCTCAACCTGTATCCTTCCTTCAAAGCTTACTCGAACTCTCTCAGCATGATCACTCGTGCACGTTCATTGCATTGCACGCTGACTTGTCTTTGCAGGACCAGCGAGAGGGATCGCTGGATCTCTCTCGGCTGCTTCTTATGGTGCATGGTGATCATCGGGCTCCTCGTGTCTCGGGCTGGCGTATGGCCCATGTACACCTTCACCATGTGGTCCTGGGCCCTGATTGCCATTCGATTTCTTGCAATCTTTGTTGGAGAGAATGTTCCTATCATTCACTTTCTGGGCGAGTTTTCCCATGGGCCGGCTCTGATCAATGCTGTCATTGTCTTTGTGGTATGGTGGATGGTACTCTTCCCCATGATCTTCTTTGTGCTCAAGAGCAAGAAGGACAGAGATTTCTTCTTCAAGTTCAACGCTTCCTTCAACCTCATCAACGTTCATGCAGTCAACATAGTGCTGGCTTACCTGATCAGAACCTTCATTCCTAGGAGTCTGGTCTTGTACGATCTATGGAGCACGCTCACTGTCTCTTTGTTCTACACTCTTCTCTACCTGTTCATCTTCGATATGAATGGGTATCACTTCTACATTATCCTGTCGCCTCGTACGCATTTCTGCTTTCTTAGTTATTCATTGATGTTGGGGATCATGGCCTTCATATATTACTGCCTTGGCGGGAGATTTGAATTGTGAGTCCGGTGGGAAATGGTTCTTTGTGTCAAGTTCTATCTCCATGGTATCTCACGGACAATAATGCCGAAAAGTTTGTAGTCGCGTCACGGGATTCTAAGACGATTTTTGGTAAAAAACAATGCAGGAGTTGTTTGTCTTGGACACGTAATAAAGCAACTCAGCAGTCGGATTCAACTCGCTGGAGTCACATAGAGCATCATTTTTGCTCTAATCCAAGATTGACTTTTCACAGAGTGGCATTTGAATAGACAGCGCCGTAATTGTCAATGTGCAGCTCTAATACAGCCGTCTGCTTTTTATCGATAGGAGAATGATACGATGTCGCAGACAGTTGCGAGTTTGGCCTAAATCATGATGATTGAAAGGTATGCTTGGGAGGACCCTAGGAGAAGACTTTGGCTGTTTTTTTCCGATCCTTTCAAGCACATCACGCCATATCAAGACACATGTGGTGCCTCCTTCGTTCTTATTTGTATATCTTTCCTAGAGTTATGTCGTTACCCACACGCTATTGCCTTTTTGTAGAAGGTAGACTTACGTTGAGGATGAGTTTCATGGAAAATCGGCAAATCTCTTCACTTCAACAAAACAAAGCGATGCAGGAGAGAAAATTAAAAAACAATATCAAGATGATCCAGGGCGATCCACCCCAAACACCACCCCTCATTTGATGCACCCTACCCATCCCAGAACACGATCTGTTGTAACCACCCCGTCATGGAGCAACTATCTGTACACTAAAGAAGCAATAAAGAAAACTCACTGCTTTTGCTCACCGTATCGTAAACCAGAGCCTGCTGTTTTTGTCTCCCACCACAGCATGCAAAAAGCAGAGACAATGTGTCTTCCCTAAAGGTATGTCTGCTCTTAAACTGCTCTCTCTTCCTCTCCTCTGCTCCCTGCCATTCGGTCTCAACCGCCCCCGTCAGTCCGATCACATAACCGATTCATCTCAGTAAAGACTCACAACCATTTGGACATGACTGGGGGACGTGACTCATGTTGGGGGACGTGACATTTTTTCCTCAATATTGTGCCTGTCGCGTCTCGTAGCCTCCGGCAAACAGCTGTCCCACCGGATCACGTTTTGTCCAAACATTTCCTGTAAATATTGAAACTTGAACAATTAATTTTCAAAGGAACAGTGGTAAATTTAAAGTCACGCGTACCTAATATTTTTGCGTGCCCGTTGACCAGCAAAATCCTTTCCGCCTACCACCCCTACCCTGGGGTATGAGGCGTTTGAGTGGTAGTCGTAAGGGTGTGCTGATTCCCCATGTCCCCTATCGATATAAGGGGGAATCTTATCTTCAGTACCCCCTACCCCTAGAACCATAACCGTACCCTACAGGATACCCACTGTTCCCCCACCACCACCCACCATTTTATAACCTCACAAATTCCACAGATGTACCCCTACCCTCCTCTTATCCATGGGGTGCTCCGTTCTTATCTGCAACCTAGGCTCCGGAAAACTATACTTTTCGCAATATTTTCTTTCGATGAGACTTGAAACAAACAGCGATTGGATGCCATCTCATCTGAAAAAAGACTTTTTGGTTCAGATCAGTATCTTCCAAGAGTCATGATTTTGCGACGGTTTGAAGTAACCTCAGACCCCTACCCCCTGGTTTCCCAGTCCAAATATTAACAACTACCACCTTTATTTTTACTACCCTACCCTTCCTCCACATTTCCCTTGCCCCAACCCTACACTAGATTTTCCTTGCGTTCCATTGAACCCCTGCGCTTCTCCCCGACCTCTTCAACCCCCTCTGACACCCGAGCAGGCCCTACCCACACACACACCTCCCTCCTCTTCCTACGACCTCTCGTGGAAAAGTTCCGCTCCCCTTCCTCCCGTCTCAAAGTCTCGTCGCATGCAATGAGTCTTTCCTTTCTTTCGATTTCATCCTTGGTGTGCACACGTCTTCCTTTCTCCTCTCGTTTCATGTTTTCATGGGTAGGAAGGGCCCATGAAGGATCAAGGTAGATGGAGGAATAGCAATTGCTGGAGTGTGGGCATACAAAATGAGTTGTATACTCGTTGGAACATGTCAAGTCAAAGAGTGGAATGGAAGGTATATGATAGTGCTTATCCGAGATCGAACGTGCGGTGCTCACCTAGTTTGAAGATGGGCATAGATGAAAGAGAATTGAAGATGATCGTGCGCAGACTCGCATTTTTTTCTAATACACTTTGCAGTTTCAGGATCATGATTTTTTCTCGCCTTTTCAACATATCTAGGGATCGCTGCGCAACATACCCTTTCGTTGCTCCTCCTACAGCCAAAGTGCAGGATCAATCTGAGGACGGAAATCATCAGGAGCAGGCCTCAAGACCTCCGCGCACAGAGATCGTCTCCTTGTTCGCCATCACAGTCCTCTGCGCCAAGAGGCTTCCACTCAACCCGAACAGGAAGTGCGCCCCTGTTGTCCACATGCTCTTCACCATGCCGGGGTACAGATCTCAGCACGCAAAGACGCAGAAGCGGCAGACCAACTGGCCGATCTGGCAGGAGCAGTTCATTTTCTCGGTAGACCCTTCTGCAAAGATCTCAGAGGGGATGGTGAGTTCAAGGGGAGGGCTCCAGGAGGAGCTGACGATGCTTTCTCAGGTTCACATCCTGCTTGAGGACTCTTCCCAGCACAAGAAGCTCGGGGAGTTCTGGGTCTCTTTGGAGAGCATCATGCAGGATGGCAGCTCGACCCGCAAGTTCAGTTTGGGCTCGGACGACAGCATGTCAGAGCCCTCGATCTCAGTCGCGTTTGACACCCTGACGGAGAAGAAGTCAAAGTCGCACATGGTGTCTCATAGAAAGAATGGTGGGTCTGTTGTGCCCAGCTACGCTCCAACTGACGTGAAATGTTGACAGTGTACTCCGTCCTTCCCGCGACGCTCTCGAGCTCTGACGAAGAAAAGAGGCATCTCGGTGCTGGACTCTTCACCCTCCTGCAGATCGCGCAGAGCTCGGCGGAGGACTAGAGTGTTGCTAGATGTCGATGATGAACCTCTCATGTACAGTAAAGGGATCAGATAAGAATGGAGAGCGGTAGGCCGGTTCAGAGACGCTGCGGCACTCTAGAGAAAACCCGCTGCCTCGTTGTCCACGTGCCATGGTGTGTCCTTGCCTTGCGCATACCTCCAGGGCAGGTATGAGGATAGGAGGGCAAGGGAGGGAGTCTTACCTGGCAGGGGGGAGCGAGTAGGGGAGGGGAAGGGGAGCCTGCAAAAGGCTAAGGAGAAGAAGGAAGAGACTAGTAGAAGGAGGAACGAGGAGGAGGAAACGAGTAGAAGGAGGAATCGATGAGGAGGAGAAGCTATGGTTGCTTCCAACCTCAATGTTGCTTGCACTCTCACGGCAAGAGATGGTGGAGAAGAAGGACAAGTGACGCTTCTTGCCATTACCCTCGGGCAGGGTGGTAGTGGCTGCTAATGTTGCCTCCTCCTTGGCCTGCCTTCCTCCACAGGTGCAGGAAAAATCTCATGGAAGTCAGTGAGGGAAGTTTGGATTTATCAGGCTGCTACCTGAATCGTTGTGGAGCAAGCTGGGGAGGAGTAGAACGCTAAATTCGTAGCTGGTGATGCTGATTTGACTGAATTGAAATCAGAGAAGCAGGAGCAGGAAGCAGGAGCAGGAGCAGGAGCAGGAGCAGAGGCAGGGGCAGGGGCAGGGGCAGGGGCAGGAGCAGGAGCAGGAGCAAGTGCAAGTGCAAGTGGACGAGGAGCGGCTCAGGGAGGCTTAACCTTGCATTTTTCTCAAGTCTTCCCCAGGCAGCACCAGAGAGGTTGTGGGAGCCAAGCAGGATCCACGCTACCCGAGTAGGAGAGGAAGGGGAGGACGAAGGCGAGAAGCGAAGCCATGTCTTGATGTGCGGCATGGCTCGCCTGCGGAGCTGAGGGTCCGAAGAACCTGGTGAGAGCAGGTGAGAGGAGGAGCAGGGGCAGGTGATCGTACCTGAGGACCAGCGACAGAACATCTTCAGCAAGAAAGGCTTGTGAACATTCTTAGAGAAGCCGGGGATACTGACAGGACGTAAGAAGTGCCACCCGTATACTGCTCTTCTCCGTCGCTTGTTCTCTCCCTCTCCCTCCTCTCCCTCCTCTCCCTCCTCTCCCTCCCGACCCCTCCTCCAACCTCCTCCCTGCCTTCTCCTCTCACCGTTCCTCTTACCTTTCCCCCATGGTGTAGCCCTTGGAGGATGTCCTGACCTCCTCCATGGTTGGCCAAATAAAGTGAGGAGGCTCCTCCGGCCGCCCGATGTTTTTCCCCTCGGTGTTCTGAAGGAGACGATCGACGGGGGCACATCAGCGAGCAAGAGGCAGCGGAGGCTTCAGCAGGGAGAGACGAGGAGAGGAAAAGAATGAGTGGGACATTGGGAGGGCAGGACAAGGAGGGCACGGCAAAGGAAGCTGGGTGAGGAGTAGAGAAGAAAGGTCACCTTTCCCTCACACAAGGAGGAGGTGAATTCTTCAATCCACTTCTCGCTCAGGGATCCAATTGAAGTGCATTGCCAAACCTGGAGTGCAAAACCTTGAATCGTCATTGCTACAAGCTCCTTCCCCCGAAGACAGTAGCATACAACTCTCCCTTTCCTTCCTCTACTCTCTCATCATTTCTTCTCTTCTGTCCTCCGCAGCGACTATTCTGGTGCCGCCCCTCTCCTCTAGCCTTGGTCCCTCCCTCCCTCCCTCCCTCCCTCCCTCCCTCCCTCCCTCCCTCCCCTCTCCTCCTCTCACCATAGGACACTTGTTGAAAAGCGGGTCGAAAGTTTCTCGTGACAGAATTCTGTTGATGCAGCAATGAGAACAATCGGTCAAGGAGGTCTAGATCGTCCCACCTCCTCATCTTCATGTGGCCCCACATGTGCATCTTCTCGCCCTGGTGCCTTCCAGGTACAGACGCTACAATCTTTGCCCGCGCCTGAAAAACATGTTGTCCTTGTCATTTTCACCATCACCACCACCACCACCACCGTCATCAACATCGTCATCATCATCTTCATCACCACCACCACCATCATCATCTTTGTCTTCATCAATCATTGTCATCATCATCGTCCTCGTCCTCGTCATCATCATCGTCATCATCATACTAACATTTTTGAAACTGTATCTACGAAGGTATTGAGCGTCGAGCTTCGACCCGCAAGGCAAGGTGGTGCCTTTCCATTGCGTCGCTTGAAAATACGACACCAGGTCATCTTCAAACTCACTCCTTTCCTCCCCCTGCAGCAAACAATTCAGAGCTATGCTTGCTCCTGTTTCCTCTCCTCCTCTCCTCCTCTCCTTCTATCTCCTTCTGCTCCTCTGCTCCCCTCCTCCTCTGCTCGTCGTTGCTTTTGACCATCTCCACTCCTATTTACTTCTTTCCTCTAGTATCATCTTCCGCCTCCTCCTCTTCCTCCTCCTCCTCCTCCCGTCGACCTCACCTCTCCCTTCAACGGGAAGTCCTGAGCCCATAGAGCATCGGTCATATCGTAGTGATCGCCATGAATGTGATTCGCCGTCATCACCACCACCCTCACCCCCGTGTTGTACCCCAGCAACATCACTTTGCTGTGGTGGACGCCGTACTGGGGCGTCGGAGGCGCGTAGCGAACGATGGAGGAGGAGGAGGGAGGCGAGGCGAGGGAAGAGAGGAAGGGATACATGAAGACAACTCTGGGGATGGAGGAGAGGAGAGCGATCTCTGACAGCAGCCAGCGCTCTTGCACCATGTAGTTGGTGAAGATGGCCCAAAGAACGTCTCCTTGCACCACGTCCCTCAGGCGGACTGCTTGCTCGTTGCCCGGCTCCTCGATCCCGTCGGTGTGGAACAGCCAGAACCCCCTCCCGTCTGCTACGAACTCCCTCCTGCCGTTCCTCGCAGCTCCCGATGCAGCAAGCCCTCTGAGCTCCTCCTCCTGGAGCATCCTGGCCAGCTTCTCATCCTCCTCCATGGAGGGAGCAGCCCTTGCTCCTTCTTTCCGTGGGACTTTGCTTGAGGGTCCAGCATGCTCTTCCCCAGCCCTGCTCCTCTTCGTCCTTGGATGGTCATCTTCGTCAGAGTCCAGCACTATCACCTCCACTTCTTCTGCATCCAGCTGGGTCAGAGCGAAGAGGGGGGGTGGGGTGAGGGGAAACGAAGAGAGGAGAGCAGAGGAGCAGAGGAGCAGAGGAGAGCAAAGGAGGAGAGGAGAGGAGAGGAAGACCTTTGGTCGCATGCTCCTTCTTGCCCTTAGGGTGGCTGTACTGCTCGAAGTGCTGGGGGTTCTTCCTGTTGCAATCGACGCCATATCTGAGCGAGGGGACTGTATCACACGACGCGAGAGGGAGAAGGATGGGGAGGAGGATGGGGAGGAGGAGGAGGAGGAGGAACCTGCATCGTTCCTTCCCTGGCGGATTCCAGTCACTGCTCATCGCAGTCTCCTGTCCTTCTACTGCTCTCCCTGCCTATCCTGCCCCCCTCCCTTCAGCGCGTTTTTCCCACGGGGGGAAGGGCAGGAAAAGGGCCAAGGCAAGAGAGTGAAATTGACGAGGGGGGCGCAGGATACCAAGGCGAAGCAAGGGAGGCGAAGCAAGGAGGTAAGAAGTGGGAAGAGAGACGAGAAGAGAGAAGACATTGCAAGAGCAGGGCAGGCCCAGGAGCAGCGGTATGGGAGGGAGAGGGAGAGGGACTGCAAAGGCCTTATTCGCTTTATTCCGCTGTACAATGATACATGTTCACCCCATCCCCTCAAACGTCTGCGTCAGACATCTCCCACTCGTGCTCCTCGTTGGTCAGCGAGAGGCGGGAGTTGCGGAGGTTATCGATCACCTCCTCTAGCTCCTCCTTCCTCCTCATCGACTCCCTGATCCTCCTCTGCATCTGCATGCGCAAGTCAGCAGCGGCGGCATGCACGGGCAGCCGGCATGACCTGAAGGTGCTCCTTCTCCCTCTCCTTCAGCTCTGCCTCGATCCTCTGGACCTCACAGTCCATCCTCGGGTGCTTGTACGCCATCCTCTTCAGCCTCACCAGCTCGGCCCTCTGAATGCTGACCTGCTGGTTCTCCTCCACCTGCGTCCAACCCTCCTCCTCAGCAGCAGCCCAGCACAGGCTCCCCCTCACCTCATTCAAGAAGATGCAGACGTGCACGCGGTTGGAAGGGCTCTCGAACTTGACCTCCACCTCGTCCTTGTCCGCCAGCATGCTCCAGGAGACTCTCGCTGCGGGGCTGCCGACCCCTGCCCCCCAGCTCTCCTCCTCCACCACCCTATCATCCTCCTCCTCCTCCTCACCCTCCTGGACCCGATCGGGGTCGTTCCACCCGCTCGCTCCCCCCCAGAACGTGGACGAGTTCTGCACGATGACGCTCCCTCTCTTCCTGCACACGACGGAGATGCCCAGGTTGACAAACCCTGTGAGGCTGGAGACGCCTCGCAGCCGGAACACGTACCATCCTCCCTCCTCCACCTCCACGTCCCGCTGTACCACTTCCTCCCTCTCGCTGTCCTGCAAGCACAGCAGGAGCATAGTAGAGTCCGTTGCCGCCATGGCCAGCTGCGGGCTGGTCTCCCAGAGCATGGAGGCAGTGGTGGTGAGCCCGAGACGGATAGCAAGTTCCTCCAGCGTACTGATGTTCCCCTGGATCGTGTGGAGCCTGGGCTTCCGGAGAATGTCCTCCCCCTCCAGGGTGACTGTAAACTTCATCTTCCCCTCCTCCTGCCTCGACGGACTCCCCGTCGAGCTGCCTCCCTCCTCGCTGTAGGACAAATGCAGCTCCCTCCTCCTCGACGTCACGGGGCGGGAGATGCGGCCAGCGATCTCATGGCACCTCCTGCTGCACTCGCTGAGCTGCATGCTCGTTTCGCGGAGGGAAGCGTGCAGCGGCTCGATGACCTCCCTCCTGTCTGCCATCACGTCAGGCGCGTACGGGGGATCGACCTCGTCTACCTGCGAGCAGGCGGTGCTCCCGGACATCCTGCTGGATTTTGGTTGCTGTATGCACGCTGACAAGTTGTGAAGTGAGCAAGAAAATTGAGAATGAAAATGTGGCAGAAAGGGGGAGGGGGGGGGGGAGGAGGAGGAGTAGAAATAGGAGCAGGAGCAGAAAGAGGACGAGGATTGGAACGAAGATTCGAGATAACAAGGATGAAGACAGGGAAACAAGGACAAAGATCGATGCGAGCCAACAAGAAAGACGAAGAAGGCAAGAGAGGAAGAGAAAGAATCTCAGTATTATCGGCCGACAACGGAGTAGGAGAGAGAGAAGATTGCGGTCCTCACAAGGAATCAAGATGCATGTAGATGGTGCTCTCAACATCATGGAAGCGGAACAAGGAGTTCATCCTCATCATCTGAAGATCGCTCGTCCGCTTATCCTGCAGTATCCTCCTCACTCACTGCGACTCTCCTCCTCCCACCCACCTGGATGGTGGAGATCGTGTCTAGGATGCCTGCTCCTCGGTCCTGCAAGAGCTCAAGAGCCTGGACCTGTTGCCTCGTCTCTGCTGCCTTCCTTTCCGCTGCTTCCTTGCTCCTTGATATGTGCGATCGGGCCTTCTTCACTCTCTCCACGTTCTCTTGCAAAACGCGCTGGAGCAGTTTCTAGCATCCATAGTAAGCCAAGGCAGCCGCTGGAAGGGGAGTAGGGAGGGGAGCAAGAAAGGAGGCAGTGAAGGAGGGAGGGAGAGGGAGGGAAATGGAGGGAAATGGAGGGAGAGGGAGGGAGGGAGAGGGAGAGGGAGGGAGGGTGGGGGAGGGAGGGGGGGTAAGGAAGAGGGAGGAAGAGGGAGGGAAAGGGAGCGGGCGTACCTCCTTCCTCCTTAGATCTTCCGCTTCTACTTCAGTCTTGAGCATCTTGATCAGCACCTGTCAAACATGTCTGTGGGTTTGTTTGGAGAAATGTCGATGATGGTAAGTCACCTCATTGAGAGACTTGAGATTTCTCCTCCTCTCTTCCTCCACCTGGGCACCACGGGACCGGAGGGCTTTCGCTGCATGCATCCCCTGCGTGTCTGCGGCGCTGAACATCTGAGAAATCTTGTCATCGACGATGAAGGTGAAGGAGAAATGAGAGGGTTGAGAGCAGAGGGGAGAAGTTGAAGGCAAGAGGTAGAAGAAGCCCACCTCTTCCAACGAGTTCAGCCGCTGCTGATATGCTTGCACCTGAGACTCGAGCGCTATCTTGTCATTCTCCCACTTGCTGATCATTTTCTGGGCATTGTTGCGAAGATCTTCTTTCTTCTTCACAAATGGATTCTCGGCCGAGATAGTATTGAGACTTTGGTTCAAAGTGTCCAAAGAAGAGAGATTTTGATCCTTTCGATCCTAAACATCTGTAAGATACCAAAGGCGAGAAGGAGCAAGAGGGTAAGGGAGCGAGGGAAATACAAAGAAGGTGAAGAAATACTTGTAAAATTTGCAGGAAGTGAGCAAAAGCTCGATCGCAAGAGACGAGCTTCGCGATCTCAAACTTCACTTCCTCAGCATCGTCGGCTTTCTTGAGGACATCAAGAAAGTCCTCCTGCAAACATCGTTTCATGCCAGGTCGTGTCATGTCGTGAACCGTCAGAGTCACAGCCGCACGTCACTAGAGAGCAGGGGGTTGGTGTTGCAGACAAGACAGACGACTGATCCACAGAAAGAAGATGTGCAGGAAAGAATCAAGGATGGGTTGAGGCGAGGAGAGAGGAAGGAAGGCAGACAGGTTTTCGCGAAGGCGCCTTACTTGAGCAGCATGCTTGTTGTGCAATACTTTGAACAGATCCTGCAATAAATTTGCTCAAACAAGGTTCGCCATTCGTGGGGTGCACAATCACCTCCACGCTCTTCTCGCAATCAGGTCGATTGCATGCACTCCACTGTCCATAAAACTTCTCTTCCCACTCAATCACTTTCCTCACAAGTGAGAAGACGTTCTCGTTGAAGAGATTGGCCAACTGGCAAGACAGACGCCTTCAGCACCAACGCATCGCACACTCACTGCACACACCTCCACCTCGCTCTTAAGATCTCCTGGGCTGGGCAGACAGCCTTCCAGGTCCTCCCACACCTTCTGCAACCTCGGCATAACTAAATCTCGAATGATGCAAGGAGGTGAGGACCTTTACACGGCACAAAAGCTCGACATTCCCGTCATTCTCGGACTGCACATATCTCGCCATCATCCTTTGTAGGTCTTGCTTGCAGTTATCAAAGATCTCGAAACTGTTTTGTCGCTCCTCTTCAGCAAACCTTCACCAGACAGGTCATTGTTGAACATTACGGCTGTGCATACGAACTCACTCGATTTCGCTTTCATGAACCTGCATTCGAAGGTGATCAAAGTCTGCGGCGACCACGTCGTCGTCATCGCGCACGAGTCTCTTGCACTTGAAAACAATCTTACAAGAAAGAAAGATAGCGAAACAAGTCAATGTCTGGCAACCTTCTGCTGAAGAATGTTTCGTACATCTCCCGCACATTCCTCGACAAGGAGCCAGTGAGACGACGACTGCATGAAATCCTCCCTGAAGCTCAAGGTTCATTCGAGCAGCCAACAGTGACAGTGCTAATGGAAAGATGAATATGACGAACAAGCACAAGCTCAAGCTCAAGCTCAAGCTCAAGCTCAAGCACAAGCTCAAGCACAAGCTCAAGCACAAGCACAAGCACAAGCACAAGCACAAGCTCTACGGTAGGGAACAACTCACATTGTAGCCAAGATTGTGACCTCATCCCCTCCTTGAAATTCGCCGCCCGGGCTTGGCCGACCGGCCCTGAGCGGCTCAGTGGCGGCGAGCCCCGCCCGGCCCCGGGATGCGGCCCCGCCGCGGGCCGGGCTCAGCTCTGCAGTGCCTGAAAGTCACGACTCGCCCTCAGGCCGCGCCGGCGCCCTTAAAGGCTCGCCCGGGCGCCGACACTTGATCGGACTGATCCGAGGCCAGTTCAACTGTGTCCGACCGTCCGACTTTCAAGTTCGACTCGACACTAGGGACCCGATCAATCAGCCGCGAGCCCGCCCTCCACTCTGGAGTCCTACCGTGCCGTGTCGCGAGTCGGGTCATCGGAGGGCGCTCGGCTGGTCCGATCGGAACAATAATGGCCCGTGACAGCCGGGGGAGGCTTCAGTGTGACTCGTGACAGGCACTGAGTTTAGTCAACGATTCGAGGCCGTCGAAGAGATACAATGGCCTCTCTTTACCACACGAGATGCTGACGGCAAAAAAGATTTCCGAAAGGAGTGCGCCACTCTGATCCCGCAGCAGACACCACACCATGAGAATGCACACCAGCCAGAGCCTCCAAGACCTCCCCACCATCCAGGCTGACTTCAGCGCCCTCCTCGTCCATGACCATGACGACGAGAGCGAGCTGAGCTCACAGCAGAGCCTGGCCTCTCCGCTCTCTCCCCTGCCAGCGAGCAGGCGCAGCAAGGAGCTCGACACGGCCGAGTCCTACGAGGCGAGGCGCATGCAGGCGCTGGAGAGGATGCCGAGCCGACAGAGGCAGCTCCAGGCACTGGAGCACTGCATCCGGCTGCTCACCTCACCGGAGCGACCCGTGATCACGAGCGCGACGGGCCAGCGGATGCAGCTATGAGGGGGAGGAGGGAGAGAAGGGGGGCGACGAGGGAGGGATAAGAAGGGATGTACGATAGGGAGGGGGGGACCGCTTGTATAATAAATGGCATGGATGAATGAAAGGGATCGAGTCTTGGGTTGTAGGATGGTTTTTCTCCGTTTTTCTACTACTCGCTGGTACTTCCTTGCTTGTCAGACGTTGCAAAAGCATGTATGGTTCCATGCATATTCCTCCTGTCATTCCTCCTTCATACATAGTCTTGTCATAGAACGTAAGCATGAGTCATAGACTGTATTCCTTCGAGGATATTACTGTCACTCCTGGCAGCAAGTTGCTGGGTAAGGATTGTTGTGCTTTTATGCCCTTATTAGCGCAAGTGTTGTTACACACCGATTCAGATTCCTAGTCAAAATGAATGAGTCCTACTCCACCAGCCTCCAAAATAAAAGAGCCTGATTCCTTACGTGTTGGGCTCGACAATCTTGAATTGAAGAAGGTTGTAGGTTGCTCTAGGAAGATTTTCAACCAAAACACAGTGACTCATGCTTACGTTCTATGACAAGACTATGTATGAAGGAGGAATGACAGGAGGAATATGCATGGAACCATACATGCTTTTGCAACGTCTGACAAGCAAGGAAGTACCAGCGAGTAGTAGAAAAACGGAGAACAACCATCCTAAAACCCAAGACTCGATCCCTTTCATTCATCCATGCCGTTTATTATACAAGCGGTCCCCCCCTCCCTATCGTACATCCCTTCATATCCCTCCCTCGTCGCCCCTCTTCTCACCCTCCTCCCCCTCATAGCTGCATCCGCTGGCCCGTCGCGCTCGTGATCACGGGTCGCTCCGGTGAGGTGAGCAGCCGGATGCAGTGCTCCAGTGCCTGGAGCTGCCTCTGTCGGCTCGGCATCCTCTCCAGCGCCTGCATGCGCCTCGCCTCGTAGGACTCGGCCGTGTCGAGCTCCTTGCTGCGCCTGCTCGCTGGCAGGGGAGAGAGCGGAGAGGCCAGGCTCTGCTGTGAGCTCAGCTCGCTCTCGTCGTCATGGTCATGGACGAGGAGGGCGCTGAAGTCAGCCTGGATGGTGGGGAGGTCGTGGAGGCTCTGGCTGGTGTGCATTCTCATGGTGTGGTGTCTGCTGCGGGATCAGAGTCGAGGAGGGAGCAAACTGGCCGTGGCTGTGCCGTGTGCCGTGAGCCAGGAATATCCTTGTTCTATGCACCAGTAAGGAGCCATGCATCAGCAGGTCACGCGGATCGACTCCTTGAATGAGTGAAGGAGGCGGAGAAGGTCCTTACTACAGATGCCAATGGTCATTGCTGACGGTATAAAACTAAGATTCCGATTTCCGGACTCGGGGTCGGCCGGGACTCGGACCTGTCATGGCCCAGGATTGTTGCGGCCCGGCATCAGAGGCCGCGGCGGGTACTCAACCGTCCGACGCCGGACTCACCGTGGCACTGCCCTGAGCGACGTCAGCCCAAGCCTTCCATCCCGCGTTTACGGTTCAATCGGTTGTCGCAGCCATCATTGCTGGCCCTAGGTTCCCGAGTTCCGAGTTTCAGCGACGTCTGCTGCATGCGGCAGTGCCCGTCTGATCCTGCCCGCAGTCAAGTGAGCAGTGGGAATGAGGATTGGAGTAGGCTCTTTCTCTGTCCGACGGACGCATCTGATCCCCGCGCTCGGAAGATCTCGTGGAGGGTCGTGAGGCCCGACTGTGATGAGTGAGCATGCTCGATCAGGGAAGAAGCTATCTTACAGCAGAGATCTCCCTTGAGGTGCATGATGGGGAGACAGCTGAAGCTGAGTCATGAGACTTGGCCAGCACACACTGCTGTGTGATAGTGGCATCCTTGGCCGCGTGGGCAGTCGTAGTGACGTAGTGACGTGATTTCTCGCTTGTCAATGGCATGCCAGCACTCGCCCGATCAACGCGAGAGCAGGTGGTCAGTGCCTTGATGCTTCCAATTGAAGAAAGCGTACAAGAGAACTTGCAGGAACCAATCACCAATGCAGCATCAGCCAGATCTCTCTCTCTCTTTCCATGCCGTTTATTATACAAGCGGTCCCTCCCTCCCTATCGTACATCCCTTCTTATCCCTCCCTCATCGCCCCTCTTCTCTCCCTCCTCCCCCTCATAGCTGCATCCGCTGGCCCGTCGCGCTCGTGATCACGGGTCGCTCCGGTGAGGTGAGCAGCCGGATGCAGTGCTCCAGTGCCTGGAGCTGCCTCTGTCGGCTCGGCATCCTCTCCAGCGCCTGCATGCGCCTCGCCTCGTAGGACTCGGCCGTGTCGAGCTCCTTGCTGCGCCTGCTCGCTGGCAGGGGAGAGAGCGGAGAGGCCAGGCTCTGCTGTGAGCTCAGCTCGCTCTCGTCGTCATGGTCATGGACGAGGAGGGCGCTGAAGTCAGCCTGGATGGTGGGGAGGTCTTGGAGGCTCTGGCTGGTGTGCATTCTCATGGTGTGGTGTCTGCTGCGGGATCAGAGTCGAGGAGGGAGCAAACTGGCCGTGGCTGTGCCGTGTGCCGTGAGCCAGGAATATCCTTGTTCTATGCACTAGTAAGGAGGCGAATGTCCAGGTGTATCGGGGCCATGCATCAGCAGGTCACGCGGATCGACTCCTTGAATGAGTGAAGGAGGCGGAGAAGGTCCTTACTACAGATGCCAATGGTCATTGCTGACGGTATAAAACTAAGTGTCCGATTTCCGGACTCGGGGTCGGCCGGGACTCGGACCTGTCATGGCCCAGGACGCCGGACTCACCGTGGCACTGCCCTGAGCGACGTCAGCCCAAGCCTTCCATCCCGCGTTTACGGTTCAATCGGTTGTCGCAGCCATCATTGCTGGCCCTAGGTTCCCGAGTTCCGAGTTTCAGCGACGTCTGCTGCATGCGGCAGTGCCCGTCTGATCCTGCCCGCAGTCAAGTGAGCAGTGGGAATGAGGATTGGGGTAGGCTCTTTCTCTGTCCGACGGACGCATCTGATCCCCGCGCTCGGAAGATCTCGTGGAGGGTCGTGAGGCCCGACTGTGATGAGTGAGCATGCTCGATCAGGGAAGAAGCTATCTTACAGCAGAGATCTCCCTTGAGGTGCATGATGGGGAGACAGCTGAAGCTGAGTCATGAGACTTGGCCAGCACACACTGCTGTGTGATAGTGGCATCCTTGGCCGCGTGGGCAGTCGTAGTGACGTAGTGACGTGATTTCTCGCTTGTCAATGGCATGCTCGCACTCGCCCGATCAACGCGAGAGCAGGTGGTCAGTGCCTTGATGCTTCCAATTGAAGAAAGCGTACAAGAGAACTTGCAGGAACCAATCACCAATGCAGCATCAGCCAGATCTCTCTCTCTCTCTTTCCATGCCGTTTATTATACAAGCGGTCCCCCCCTCCCTATCGTACATCCCTTCTTATCCCTCCCTCATCGCCCCTCTTCTCTCCCTCCTCCCCCTCATAGCTGCATCCGCTGGCCCGTCGCGCTCGTGATCACGGGTCGCTCCGGTGAGGTGAGCAGCCGGATGCAGTGCTCCAGTGCCTGGAGCTGCCTCTGTCGGCTCGGCATCCTCTCCAGCGCCTGCATGCGCCTCGCCTCGTAGGACTCGGCCGTGTCGAGCTCCTTGCTGCGCCTGCTCGCTGGCAGGGGAGAGAGCGGAGAGGCCAGGCTCTGCTGTGAGCTCAGCTCGCTCTCGTCGTCATGGTCATGGACGAGGAGGGCGCTGAAGTCAGCCTGGATGGTGGGGAGGTCTTGGAGGCTCTGGCTGGTGTGCATTCTCATGGTGTGGTGTCTGCTGCGGGATCAGAGTCGAGGAGGGAGCAAACTGGCCGTGGCTGTGCCGTGTGCCGTGAGCCAGGAATATCCTTGTTCTATGCACCAGTAAGGAGGCGAATTTCCAGGTGTATCGGGGCCATGCATCAGCAGGTCACGCGGATCGACTCCTTGAATGAGTGAAGGAGGCGGAGAAGGTCCTTACTACAGATGCCAATGGTCATTGCTGACGGTATAAAACTAAGATTCCGATTTCCGGACTCGGGGTCGGCCGGGACTCGGACCTGTCATGGCCCAGGATTGTTGCGGCCCGGCATCAGAGGCCCGCGGCGGGTACTCAACCGTCCGACGCCGGACTCACCGTGGCACTGCCCTGAGCGACGTCAGCCCAAGCCTTCCATCCCGCGTTTACGGTTCAATCGGTTGTCGCAGCCATCATTGCTGGCCCTAGGTTCCCGAGTTCCGAGTTTCAGCGACGTCTGCTGCATGCGGCAGTGCCCGTCTGATCCTGCCCGCAGTCAAGTGAGCAGTGGGAATGAGGATTGGAGTAGGCTCTTTCTCTGTCCGACGGACGCATCTGATCCCCGCGCTCGGAAGATCTCGTGGAGGGTCGTGAGGCCCGACTGTGATGAGTGAGCATGCTCGATGAAGCTGAGTCATGAGACTTGGCCAGCACACACTGCTGTGTGATAGCATGATGGGGAGACAGCTGGGCAGTCGTAGTGACGTAGTGAGCACACACTGCTGTGTGATAGTGGCATCCTTGGCCGCGTGGGCAGTCGTAGTGACGTAGTGACGTGATTTCTCGCTTGTCAATGGCAGAAAGCGTACAAGAGAACTTGCAGGAACCAATCACCAATGCAGCATCAGCCAGATCTCTCTCTCTCTTTCCATGCCGTTTATTATACAAGCGGTCCCCCCCTCCCTATCGTACATCCCTTCTTATCCCTCCCTCATCGCCCCTCTTCTCTCCCTCCTCCCCCTCATAGCTGCATCCGCTGGCCCGTCGCGCTCGTGATCACGGGTCGCTCCGGTGAGGTGAGCAGCCGGATGCAGTGCTCCAGTGCCTGGAGCTGCCTCTGTCGGCTCGGCATCCTCTCCAGCGCCTGCATGCGCCTCGCCTCGTAGGACTCGGCCGTGTCGAGCTCCTTGCTGCGCCTGCTCGCTGGCAGGGGAGAGAGCGGAGAGGCCAGGCTCTGCTGTGAGCTCAGCTCGCTCTCGTCGTCATGGTCATGGACGAGGAGGGCGCTGAAGTCAGCCTGGATGGTGGGGAGGTCTTGGAGGCTCTGGCTGGTGTGCATTCTCATGGTGTGGTGTCTGCTGCGGGATCAGAGTCGAGGAGGGAGCAAACTGGCCGTGTCTGTGCCGTGTGCCGTGAGCCAGGAATATCCTAGTTCTATGCACTAGTAAGGAGGTGAATTTCCAGGTGTATCGGGGCCATGCATCAGCAGGTCACGCGGATCGACTCCTTGAATGAGTGAAGGAGGCGGAGAAGATCCTTACTACAGATGCCAATGGTCATTGCTGACGGTATAAAACTAAGATTCCGATTTCCGGACTCGGGGTCGGCCGGGACTCGGACCTGTCATGGCCCAGGATTGTTGCGGCCCGGCATCAGAGGCCGCGGCGGATACTCAACCGTCCGACGCCGGACCCACTGCCGGCCACGCCGGAATCCGATGCTCCGACACTATAACAACAGTTGAGGAAGAGATCTGAGGTTATTCGAGCAACCTGAGGGGCGTCAGCCCAAGCCTTCCATCCCGCGTTTACGGTTCAATCGGTTATCGCAGCCATCATTGCTGGTAGGTTCCCGAGTTCCGAGTTTCAGCGACGTCTGCGGCATGCGGCCGTGCCCGTCTGATCCTGCCCGCAGTCAAGTGACTCTCAGCAGTGGGAATGCGGATGGGGGTTAGCTCTCTCTCTGTCCGACGGACGCATCTGATCCCCGCGCTCGGAAGATCTCGTGGAGGGTCATGAAGCCCGACTGTGTTGAGTGAGCATGCTCGCCCAAGGAAGAAGCTATCTTGCAGAGATCTCCCTTGAGGTGCATGATGGGTGGAGACAGCTGAAGCTGAGTCATGAGATTTGGACAGCACGGCTAATGAGTGTTAGTGGCATCCTTGGCCGCGTGGGCAGTCGTAGTGCCGTAGTGACGTGATTTCTCGCTTGTCAATGGCATGCTCGCACTCGCCCGATCAAAGCAAGAGCAGGCGGTCACTGCCTTGATGCTCCCGACTGAAGAAGGCGTACAAGAGAACTTGAAGGATCCAACCAACAATGCAGCATCAGCCAGATCTCTCTCTCTCTTTCCATGCCGTTTATTATACAAGCGGTCCCCCCCTCCCTATCGTACATCCCTTCTTATCCCTCCCTCATCGCCCCTCTTCTCTCCCTCCTCCCCCTCATAGCTGCATCCGCTGGCCCGTCGCGCTCGTGATCACGGGTCGCTCCGGTGAGGTGAGCAGCCGGATGCAGTGCTCCAGTGCCTGGAGCTGCCTCTGTCGGCTCGGCATCCTCTCCAGCGCCTGCATGCGCCTCGCCTCGTAGGACTCGGCCGTGTCGAGCTCCTTGCTGCGCCTGCTCGCTGGCAGGGGAGAGAGCGGAGAGGCCAGGCTCTGCTGTGAGCTCAGCTCGCTCTCGTCGTCATGGTCATGGACGAGGAGGGCGCTGAAGTCAGCCTGGATGGTGGGGAGGTCTTGGAGGCTCTGGCTGGTGTGCATTCTCATGGTGTGGTGTCTGCTGCGGGATCAGAGTCGAGGAGGGAGCAAACTGGCCGTGGCTGTGCCGTGTGCCGTGAGCCAGGAATATCCTTGTTCTATGCACCAGTAAGGAGGTGAATTTCCAGGTGTATCGGGGCCATGCATCAGCAGGTCACGCGGATCGACTCCTTGAATGAGTGAAGGAGGCGGAGAAGATCCTTACTACAGATGCCAATGGTCATCGCTGACGGTATAAAACTAAGATTCCGATTTCCGGACTCGGGGTCGGCCGGGACTCGGACCTGTCATGGCCCAGGATTGTTGCGGCCCGGCATCAGAGGCCGCGGCGGATACTCAACCGTCCGACGCCGGACCCACTGCCGGCCACGCCGGAATCCGATGCTCCGACACTATAACAACAGTTGAGGAAGAGATCTGAGGTTATTCGAGCAACCTGAGGGGCGTCAGCCCAAGCCTTCCATCCCGCGTTTACGGTTCAATCGGTTATCGCAGCCATCATTGCTGGTAGGTTCCCGAGTTCCGAGTTTCAGCGACGTCTGCG